AGGATGCAACCCAGAACCGTGGCCGATCCCGGCGGAGCGCAGTGATCTCCACTTTCCAGTGCTTGGTTCCGTTTGCCAGAGCGGAACCTTCCCCGCGTACCTTGAGTTTGTCTGGGGAGGTGTAGGGCGCCTCTGGGGCGTAAATCCGGAATATGTCCGCCAGACAGCAAGCCACCAGTAGACGGACGTCTTTGTCCGGGTGTTTGAGGAAAAAGTCGGAGGCCAAGTGCAGGGCCAGGTTCAGGTACAGCTCCTTCTCTTCCTCAGAGTCCTGGTCCATGTCCATGAAGGTCTTCACGACCATCTGGAAGGCGGGCATAACTATTAATTAACACTCTGGCTTACAAAACACAATTCATACCCTTAAAATATATGAAACGCTCTTGAATATTAGTACAGATTCTTATACACATACAATGAGCCCGTGATGTGTCCCACCACACAGCAGGCAGAGGAGACACTGCAGCAGCAGACACTGACCTTGAGCCTGCGGACCATTTCCTCTTTGGAGATTTTGTCGGAGATCTCCTTGACCCCCGGGGGGTAGGTGACCTTCCCATCTGTGACTCGAGCTTTAGAGTGAGCCATTCTCTTTAGCTCTGCGCTGCCTGAGGAGAGAGAAAAGTACCGCTTGTAATCAAATCAGAGGAGCGCCAGGAAGAAGATGAAACGGGACACACACAGGGATTAAAAGGCATAAAGCCTGGTGATTTGCTAGAACTATTTGGACTCTGTTCTTAAAACTTTGCAAAGTTGCAAAAGAAAATTTAAAAAGCTGCAGATGGGACTTTTGAAATAGTCCGCAAAGTATTCGCAGTACACAGAAAGGTCTTCCAGCTGAATCAGGGATAAAACTGCTGCATTCGAGAGAGCGAGCCAACGTTTCAGTGCACGCTGCCGCGACCATTGGGCTCCACGATTCATCCCACCGCCACAAACGGCCAAAGACGACAGCCAATTCATGTGTGAGACATTACCGTTGGTGCAGATGGTGCTCAGACTTTCACTTCATTACCCTGCTCACGGCCAGACCACTAGAAACTGCAACGCCACTCGACTGATCCGGCCCACCTGGCCACGGAGTCCTCGCTGACATCCTCAACTACGTCAAGACGAATTCAAGCCGGACTCATTGTTTGTGAATCTACAAAACGTCTGCATACTGAACTAGAAGCATGTCATGATACGGTACAAGTATGACACGTTATGTGGGATCGTCACATTTCTAACAGCAGCAGGGATAGAAGTCAAGAACTCCCCAGGAGTTTGGAGGGTAACAGAGGCGGATGTTTTGCAATCACTGAATTAGAACACTACAAATCAAAGAATATAGCCTCAGGCAGTCTGGAAAACAGATAAACAGACCCTAAACAACACTTTCCTTCCTCCTATATGATAGTTTACTCAACCATTTATAGCTGTTTGAGCGTGACTCAAAAGTGATCTTGTAAACAGCGATTACCTTAACCGTGTTTTCACTGTTCATAACACTGTTACGCAGGGTGTTACTCACAATTTAGACATTTTACTCATTGTGCAAAAACTAAAAAACCCTAACTTAATAAATGACATGCCCTACACGCTGTTATCCGCTGCAGGTAACGAGCTTGAATGACTAAAAATGTTAGTGGGACTCTACCCAGTCGCGGATTGGAGGTGAAAGGGAACACGGTGGCTTCACTGCAAGGTCATTGGAATTCAATAAGCCTGGCACGTTCATATGCAAGTCTTACCCAACACACCAGGAACAAGCGGGCCCATCGGCCCCGTGTGGGCGACGGGCTCTGGGCACCGGAGTCACAGCTGATGGTGGCGCGTCAAGTGGCTGACTTGTTCTGCGTTTTGAATCAATAGGCTCTTTCAACAACGGCACAGCGACTAACAACGGCCGTCAATCACTCGGCCAATCCTTTTCTCGGTTAAACGATACGCTGAATAAATAAGACAGCAAATGGAATGCTGTTGGATTTCGGTCTGTTGGTCGGATTAAATAAAAAGCAAGCAGGTTGGCTTTGGAAGCCGTGGTGACCGGATCGTAAAAAGAAAACCACAAACTGCACGTCGGTGGAAAGTTCAGAGGCGCTGATTAAATCAACGCCTTTCAGCCGATGGGAATGAAAAGGACTACAATGTGTGTTTAGGGCCGTTTGTCACACAAAACAAGTGGGCCTGTGGATAATTATATCCCACTTTATAAACCAAACAACTAATCGTCAGATAAATTGATAAAGATAAGAGGTGGTTGTGACCGTATAAAGCAATAAAAAAGATGCACCTCGCTTAAATGAGCATGTGTAAGCCATTTACTACTAAAGTAACAATAAACACGCCGCACTCCGAGACAAGGCGCCGCGTTTGATTCCTTTTTACCGGTGATAGAACTGCAATATAACGCAGTTAAAGAGAAATTGATCAAATTTCTCAGGAAAACAACAGTATTTAAATAGATCTGCAATATCCTGCGTGGCGGACGGACAGAAAGTCAGGACAACTGGAAAGACGGCTATGGGATCGAGTGGCCCACGGTCCATACCCAGTCCTGTGTGCTGTTACCAGTTAAGCACCAGGCTGGACTGAATGTGGCACCCGAGTCTTCTGGTATGGGATGGGTTTTCTCTGTGAGCTCTGATATCTCGTTACACAACAACCTCTTCTCTCAGAGGAGAAAATAAACAGCACCCGCTGTTACTAAAAGCATAAAGAAATTGGCAGATTACTTTTACTGTCTTTGGGAACAAAACGTTATGGAGATTTGAGTATTATGAAGAATGTCTGCCTACTACTTGAGCTTTCATTAACACACACACACACACACACACACACACACACACACACACACACAGAGAGAGAGAGTGAGGCTGCCAGATTGTTTGATTCTGACCTTCTTTTCCACCCCACAGCTGCTGCCAAATTCGAGTACATCTCTCTCTTGGTCTACCACACAGAGCTCTGGCAGCCAATCAGAGCAGAGCATTTGTCAACCTGGGCGTCCGTCTGGGTGCCGTCCAGCAGAGAAGATCTCACTTTGAATAAAAAGCAGCAGTAAATAACCACACACAGACTGGCGTCCAGTCAGTACTGGTTTATCACACTAAACAACACGTTGTTCAGGCCCTTCACCATGTCGCCCCTTTGACACGGCTGCCAGCCCAAAACGTGGAGACAGAGCTCAGCTCCCCTAAACCAATCTGAACCCCCGACACAGACGCCCTCTGGTTTCACCCCGTGGATGGCGTCAGCAGACGCCGACCCCACACCAGCAGGAGGGCCGCACGCCAGCTGGGTGTCGTAAGGGGGAAACTCGACGACCTCCACAAATTTGCCCCCCCCCCCCCTCGCAAAATAGAAAGCGATGCAAACTGCCTGAACAGGGAAGCACCATTTCAAAATTAAATTATATAGACATTTTCTGAACAGAGCAAGTCCGCCGCATCTGAACCAGCCGGCCAGAAATGACAACAAAGCAGAGGAGCAGGGTTTCAGATGAGTAAACCCTGATATATTTGACAGGTCACCCACAAAACCGACAAGGGGGCGTAGAACGACACGTTGTGTTATTAGGTAGAGCGGCGACACACACACACACGCACACACGTTTCCGCCTCTGCTTGAATGTAAAACCATCATAGAGGAACAAATAGATTCCCATTGGGGCTCAGCAGACAACACATCATGTTGTTAAGTATTTCTTCTAGAACAGGTTTAAAAGGTCTAAAACCAGTACCAGGCATGCTCCAGCTTGATTTCTGATGGAACATTAGAATATCTAAAAAAAGGAAATATATAATTATATGTTATTAAACACAATCACTGTGATTGAACAGTACTGACGTGTGTGTTAATGGGTCCCAATGAAACCGTCTATAACCCAAAACATCCTACGGAATGCAGATATTTGTGAGAACTGTTACAACGTTGTGACCCGATGAACGATCCCGATTTACGATCACGGGCTGATGGCTGTCAAAAAAAATACACACAAAAGAACGAAACGACGCGCTGCGTTTAGCTTCATAATCCGTCGCGTCTCTTCTACTCCTTCGACAAACGCCTAATTGTCGTTCGCCAATATCGAATCCGTGGCATTCATCGTTCATCGAACAAACCCACCATGTCTGCAGTAACGCGCCTGGTACAAATATTCACCTCGATAATATGAGGTCACAACAAAAACATGTTGTTGTTTTTTTTGCAGAGGAACAGCCGACCGGATTGCTGCTACTTCTATAAAGTTGACGTGAGAGGACGCAATGAATGGCGGCTTGGTTGTTGTGGTACAGCGGCGGGACCGAGGCTGCGGGACTCCTCGGGACAGCCCCGCACCGCCTTGTTGCCGTTATGTTGACCCGTGTGCTAATCTGGTTAGCTTCCTTCAGCTAGCGTTAGCTTCTGGCGACAACGCCGACTAGCGCAGCCGTTAGCTAGCGTTAGCCTAGCGCTAGCTAAGCTCCGCGACGAGAGGGCGGACGTGTAGTAAACGTTTACGCCGAACAAAAACACCGCCCCCCTCCCCCGCCCGGCTAACACCACTTATATCGCACTAAATGCCTATGGGCCGAGTCGAGTTATTGCCCCGGCTCGTCCCACCGGGGCTATCGAGCCTAGCGAACGGGCTAGTATGTGACTAGCTAACCATTATGCGCCGCGGGGACCAGGTCAAGCCAGGCGCCGTGAATCGGACACGGCTGCCGAGAACACAGGCGAGCGACGCGGGCTTAAGCTGTGCTGCTTTTTTTTCTTCATCCGCTAGGACGGCTGGCGGATCCACCCCGGGCTCGTTACCTCTTCGCCCGCAGTAAGCGCTTGAAAATAGTCCGAGCCAGTCGATCAAAACGTCCTCTTATTCGTGCAATGTATTGAATTACCTGTTACGGTGAATTGTGATCGCGTCCTCCTCTGCAGCTCTCTTCCCCCTCCTAGCTCCAAAATGGCGCCAATATGTGTGGATCGGAGCGCCCGTCGGTGCGAACGATCGGCGGGTGTGTAGCGCCACCTATGGAGCAAGTGCATGGAGGGTTTTTTTTTAAGTGGTGCCCGTGAAATCATTTAAAATGTATCCATCTTTTTGTTTGAACAAAATAAATACGTATCACAAGTGTGACGTAATTCCAAAACTATATCACAGACTATCAACGTACCAATTCGTGTCGTTTCGTAGCATAACGCGGATTTTTGTTTACCCCATAAGTTTGCCCAGAAAGAGAATCGTTACAGTTTGATTACGGTATTAGTTAATTTATGTGAAGTAGTCAACATCGTACAATCCAGTCCAAATGCTTTGTAAATAGTTTGCAAAACGAACAGCCCGCATTTCAAATATATTTTAGTACGGAAAAGATCCCATAAATGACACACCCAGTACACATAATGCTCTCGTTAGGGCAACACTGAATGTTTTTCCAAGTAAAATGTATTTACGAGTAGTTTAGCTGCCTCTTAACAACGCTGTTAACATTTGGAGCATTTTCATTCCTTTGCATGCGAACCTATTCATTGATATGCAACGTTTGCGTGGAAGAACAGCTGTTCCTCTCTCAGCCTCTGTGCATTACTTATTAGTAAGTTATTCAACTTGTCATTGCGTAGTCTCTGGTGAAGTCCACAACACATGTCTTACCATATTGGTTTTAGGAACTGTACGGATTAGGTGTCCTTGAGTTCAGCACTGTGATGGGCTGAAAAGCACATTGTCAAAACAAAATTACAGTGCTTTTTAATATGATTTCAAACGGAAACAACAACATCCAAATGCATTTAAAAACAATGAACATAACCTTGAAGAGATTGGATCGTAGCATTTAGGAATCACCAGTTAACATTCACTATTTATACAAATGAACAACAGAGTTTGGAACCATTATGAGCATCTCTTTAATATTTCCGCTTAATTGGAGGACGCGCGCTGCTGTTCTCAATCAACCAATCAGCGCGCGGCCGCCACGATGGCGACAGTTTAAATCCCAGCAGGAAGAACTCACGCTGGTTTCATGGCTCCAGGATGGAGGGGTTCGTGTCCACGTGTCCGGCGTACAGCGTCGCTGTCCCAGCCCAGGACATCGGCTGGGCAAAGAGGGAGGGCCGCTTCCTGATCCCCCAGGGCCTGAACTACCTGGAGCTCTGCAAGGCCATCCTGGCCCAGGTGCACCCGGGTGCGGCCCCGCCTCCGCTCCGGAAAGCCGCCACCAAGGAGTGCGGCGTGCAGGTGAACGCCAAAGTGGATAAAATCGTGCAGTGTTCGCTGGGTCCCAAAACGCTGCCGTGCGCGGTGGGCGACCGTTCCGGCTCCCCGAGGACGCCCGAGAGCCCGCAGCCAGTTAAACCGGAATGGAAGGCGCCGTACGACACGCCGCCGCTGAGCCGGCTGCGCTACCAGAGGCCCGTCTCCATCTACTCGCCGGTGTTCGACCGCCGGATCTTCACGAAGAAACTCGACGAGGACGAAGCCGTCGCCGCCGAACCAGCGGGGTGTGATCGGGCGGTCAGTGGCGAGGCCGCGGTGCCGGAGGTGAAGACCCTCCTCCGCGGGTCTTCGAAGGGGTCCAGCTTTCAGGTGGGGGGGTTTTCTCTTGACGGGAGACAGTCACGTGTTACTTTCACGCGCGTCCGCTTTGATAAATTAACCTTATTCTTGTGACTAACGTTGATTGATCAACTAATCTGACACCTTCAGTAATTAAGGTGTTCAAATGAAATGGGATACAACATGGAGCCTCTAAAGGACGAAAAGTGCACAGTATTGGGAAATGAACATGGTTCATTCTACGCTTTAGAAAATGAAAGCTTCTTTCATTGCGCCTTTCAAGAGTTAAATAGGACACGAAGGCATTAAGGCCAATTCTAAATTAAAGTTATGGTGGCTTTGGTTCTGACTCAAGTTTTGGGACTTTCATTTGAAATCCATTTGTCTGTCATTATACTAGTTCCTGGAGCAGAGATATGGCTTTTTCCACTGCAAAAAGTGCAACATCCGGTGGGAGAGTGCGTATGTGTGGTGCATCTCTGGTACCAGCAAGGTAATCTGTTTTGTTTGTTCAGTGCAATCTATGGTTCCGCATGCATACACTTATGTTTGCCAAAATCTGCATGCATACGGGAAAAAAAATTAAGCAATTATTTATTTTTTCCTTTAGGTTTACTACAAGCAGCTCTGCCGGAAGTGCCAGGTGGGGTTTAACCCCTACAGAGTGGAGTCCATTGTCTGCAAGGTAAATTTCACTCGGTTGTTCCAGGAGTAATGCGAAGCTGCGAGTCTTCTCGGCTTCTTAAACCTTGAGCGCCCTTCGCCAGGTGTTGGGAGAGTCTTCTGACTTGCTTGCTCTTCTCTCGCTCCTCTGCACTCAGGGATGCTCTCTAACCTGCTGCAGCTGCGAGAAGAAGCAGAGGCACATCAACATGAAGCGGCCTCATCGCCAGGACCTGTGTTGCCGCTGCAAGGGCGCCAGGCTGTCCTGTGACGTCACCTACAGCTTCAAATACATCGTCTGAACCGCCTGGCGTGTTCACGCTGGTCTGGGATCTGTTTCTAAGGAGACTGAGTGCAAATGCATGTCGCCGGTGGAAGTTCCCTCCACTAACACAGCAGAGAGATTTATGTATTCTAGGGGTCTTTTTGTTTCCTTTCATCAGTCCTGGAGCGCAACTTGAACATGAACTATTTTTGTAAAAATAAAATCAATATATAAAATAAAGAAATTGTATGTTAAAAGTTATGTTGGATTTGCATTCATTAATCTATATAAACATGGAACAATCTTTTAGTAACGCTAAAAGCGCTCTGCATTTAATGCATGCTACTTTATGCATTAAATGTGGAGCACGGTACTGTAGTTCAAAGAGGAATGCAATGAAATAGAGGAAATCATTTGATATGTATTTTACTTTGACAAATACTTGTACAGAGCATCAACTAAAAAAACTTCACAAAGGCTGTAAAAGTATGTACAAGGTGGAAAAAAAAACCAGTCTTCACCTAAAAAGCTTTAAAAATGTGCAATTTCTTGTTTGGCATGCACACACACATTCTCCCACACACTGGAAAGAAAAACAAACATACCCACATGAGCTTAAAGCCCCCTTTTGTACCTCACACAAATGTATCTTTCAGATAAAGTATGATTTTTTGTTAATAAATATCTCAAACACTTCATACAGAAGAGTCATGCATGGCAGTTTGATTTGAGGGAAACATTGATATTAAACCCAAGTCAAATGAGCGATTCATAACCGATCACATAAATAGGAAAAATATATTTGTACAGCAAATGGGGGGGGGGCAAGGAGTCACAAAAGGGGTAGACTGCAGGAAGCGGTGGACTCCAGTAGTAGCACGGGGTTTTGTTTTGAAGACCAAAGTGCTGAATGTTAGCATTTCCCTTGCATGAAAGGTACCTACAAACGACACAGACATATGCTACAATAGCCGTGTGCCCAAAACTATTAATAGAATACAGAAAAAGACTATTTCAAGTGTGTACGTGCACCATCCTCCAAGCATGAAAACACAAGGTCAACGTGTTACAGTGAGAAACATACAGTGTTTACGCTCGCTAATGATGCTACAACTTGCCACAGAGGAGTGCACGGATGTTTACAACGGGGGTCCGGAGACGAGCTGGTTCACTGACGCACAATATCAACAGCGCTAGGGCAGCATAGGGAGATTCCCTCTAATATTCCTACTTTGTCAATCAGTCTTTCAGTCAGTCTGGAGGGGTCAGACTTGTAGGGAGCCAAAGGGACGCTAGTACAGTGAAAAGCATTCATCTGGGTCATGCATTGCACAATTTCCACCAAATGAGGTCTCAAAATAGTAGACGCAACAGGGGAGAAGTTATTCCAGCTTTTGGCTTCTCCTCAGTGAAAGCGACAGCCTTTTTCCTCTTTCAGTGACAAAAAACAGAAACATAACCTTTCTGTAACAACCTTTTTAAAAACGAATACCAAAGTTCCATTTAGTGCAATTGCGGAAACTCTACCAGTGTTTTGACACAGTGTCACAGGTAGTTTCCTCACGGTCTCTGTCAATACTAATAAGCACACTGCGTCCTCTTTGTCGGAGGCAGTCAGTTCCATCAAGTTCTTCTGGGAGTCAAGTCAGAAGTCAAAGCTTAAAGCCTTCACAAGTCCTCAGGTACAGAACAGATTTAGTGCCGTGTGATGACCCTAAAGCAGATCAACCCTGCGGCATGTAGCCGTAGCGATGTCAGCGCCTGGATGGAATCAGGTCGTGTTCATCACTAGGCAGCACACCGGGTTGTATCTAGTCGGTGCAGTGATCCCATCATATCTGGGGATATCATGATTCAATGTTTTTAAATGTGTAAAATCGGAAAGTATCTCTGTGATGTCATCTTCTGCTTTTCAGATATGAAGATCGGAGGGTTGCTCAAGGACGGTTGACTTCATTTAGGATCCATTCAAGTCTCAGACCCCTAGGTCTTCTGCCGCGGTAGGCTTACGTCTTAGGTCTGGACATCGGAGGGTTCGGCATCCAGAAGCCCCCCTACTTTCAATAGGGGCAGGGCGGCGTGCCTCACCTTTCCCAGGTAGCGAGATAAGGGCGCAGAAGTTCCAGCGAGGGAACAACAGCAACCCCACATCGCAGCCTCTCCTGGGCCGGTGGGGCAGGGAGGGGGAGGAGTAGGATCAAGGAGAAGGGATGAAGATGGGGCCGGGCTGCTGGATAACACAGCCTCTCGACTCGGTTGTCGCATTGGGGATAAACCTGTGTGTTTGTAGGGAGAGCGGGGGAAATCGGGGAGATGTGAACCCTGTGGGGCATCGAGACATGTGGTCAAATCTGAGTGCGTGAGTGTGGCCGGTTCCGAGGCTACCGTCAGCAGCATGCCGGATGTACGAGACGATATCCAGTGAGTACTTCTGTGTGTGTGTAAAAGCGCCGAACTGTGCGACAAATGTCCGCTGAAAGGAAGGTCAGCGCTCTCATTGAGGTGAAGCCTCCTCGACTCTTGCGCGTGTGGCAATGGGGAAAAATGCGGCCGGCCCGGCGAGTTTGAGCAGCTGGGCGACGAGAACAAGTCCGGCGGTTTGGGAAAATCAAATAAGGCGGGATCAGACTCTACAGCGAATGCGGATGAGGAGAGCAGGGGGACATTAGGGTCGTGATCTAAAGAGGGTGCTGAGCGAGGCGGCAGGCAGGTAGCCGTCTGTTGCCGTGCAGCCGGGGCAGCAGATACACAGGGGGAGGCAGCGGCCAGGTATGTGGGTGCCGGGCCTCCGCTGTAACAGCCGGCTGAGACGTGAAAGGATGACGAGGAGGCTTTGGAAGCGTCAATGGTTGCGAGGACGGGCACGGGGGAGGTAAGGGTGGCGAAGGAGGGGGCGGGGGGCTCCTGAGCTCCTGTCAGAGACTTGTCCCGGAGGCGCTGGAGTCGGGGAGGTAGGTTGTGACCACCCGGTAACCCTGGGCGTGGCAGATCATGTCCCGGATCTCCCCGTTGAGCTCCAGCAGCTTGGAGCAGATCAGGCTGAGGTCCTGGCGGGAACCCACTAGGGCAATGGTGCCCGTCTGGCCCAGCGTCTGGTGGCGGAAGTAGACGTTGAGTAGCGTCTGCACCTCGCTTTCCGAGCCGCCACCAAACACGCCGCAGGGCCACTGCCTCCTGCAGACAGAAAATCCGAAAGAGGGAGAAGATTTGAATACTATTCTATGCTGCGTGTGCATGTATGTCAGCGGGTTCACTTCATTTTATTAATGACAGCTGATGCCTTTTGCAGAGGAGAGCAAAAAGAGGAGATGCGTTCATGTCGATGCAGGGCTGGGCTGATAATTCATTTCCAAATACAATCCTCCAATTATTTTTTATACTACTAAATATGTGCGATGGATTTTCCTGCGGATGCAGTGCTACTACGGCAAACACTTTTTTTCCCCACTATATTTTTAGTTTCAAGACACTAAATATAAGCACAACTCACTGGTTTTTAATGTCATCTGGCAACCGACATCTAGTGTGACACTTTAGAGAGAATTGCCGCTCACCTGCACTCCTGGATGTAGCGCACAGCTTTGGTGAACTCGTGGTTCTTAAGGCACTCCAGTATGGCCTGCACAGCCGCCTCTGAGGAGGAGAAGCTGGGCACAACCATGGCTGCCACCTCGGTGGCGTGCGATCGAGTGTGGGCCAAGTGTTTGTGCTCCAGATCGCTGGCTACGGCCGCCTCAGCCACCTGCAGGCTGGTCTTCAGATCGGAGAGCTCTCGAGACATGTTCAGGAGCTAAGAAGTGGGAGAGAAACAGATGGGAGTTGAGCGTTAACATCATTTGATGTAATACTCAAGATTCACTTTAAGAGCCAGCGAAAGAAGAAAAAGCTTTGTGTCCTCTGTGTAGGCTGTGCACGCAGTGTGTAGTCTACTGAGCACTCCGCTAATGTGTGTAAATTGGATGTAGCTGTCAATGGCATCATTTGGAAAAAATGATCATTATTATTGCTTCTGTGGATGGTGGTTCTATCTGATGGTGCTTGTCCCTGCAATGGTCCTGCCGTACGCCTGGCTTACTTCTCAATTCAATTATTGGAATCATTTGTGTTATAGGAATCAAATGTATTGTTCATCTTTTACATTGTTTATTCTGAACACATGACATCCATGTGATGTGAGGGTTTCGGGACAGAGGATGTCGCATGTCTACCGACTGTAAAGCCCTGCAAATTTGTCATTTGTGATTTTGGGCTATACAAATGAACCTGAATTGAATTGAAGTCAATGGGGCCAGAATGCTGCTACTCTTTCGGGGTTGAGTTCAATAGTGTTTACTGCCTGCCTTTGTGGTTTTCTATTTTCTTTGTTGACACCCTGAACAGTGTGAAGACGATTAAAGATGTCTTTGTGAGCTAAGATTGGACTCACCTCAGGCACCGAGCTGATAGCATGAACTTGACCAATGAGCGAGCAGTAGGACTGGAACAGTAGGAGGAGCTGGAAATGCAGTTTGTAGAGTCTCTGACAAAGCTCCAATTGCTAGAAGACATTTAAGAAGAAAACGGGTCAGTTTCAAACTAAGCCGACAACATGCAGACCAAATAACACAACATATACACACGCAAGAAAAGCAATAAAAAAACACATCAACGTGACTAGCGGATTGTCTTTTGCAAAGTATATTAAGCGGTTTAACAGGAGGTAGTGAAGTGAAGAAACTTGTAAGAGAACTTACTGCAAGAGACTCCATTTGCTAGACAGCGAGAGAGCATGTTAGGGCATCGGAATGAGGTGAGAGGAAGACAAAGCGTCAATCAAACACATGCCCAGCGAAGTGTACACCATGACCATTCAGTGAGCTAACAAGAATTAGTCAACAATGTAAAACACCTAGCAGCTCCACATTTCATTTAGTGCGTAGTGGCTGCGGGGGGAAAAAGAGAAGAAAGTAGATAACACACTGCAAACATGCAAAGAGAGCGGGAATCTCAGTGTGACAAAGAGGAGATGACAATCGGTATTACAGGGCACAGATGCTGAAGTGACCCATATGTTAAGCCTGTTTGCCTGTAAACCCTAGATGACTTGTAAACAAGTTGCCTGTACCTTCTCCTCTGAGTCTCCAGGCTGGCAGGTTACCACACTATCCCCGGGGCACCTGGGAAATGTGTCCTTACAGTTCCTCAACCACTGGGGGTGGAAAGGAGGAAAGATGGTGAATATTTAGTTAATTAAATGAAGATTTGTTTTTATTTGTATATAACGTGTAGATGATAGGTTACCGATAGAGCAGCGTCCTCTCTGGTGTTGTAGGTGTCCAGGTACTCCTGCAGCTCCAGTGCACTGAACTTCATTTTTTCAAGGAGGCCATATGAAATAATCTGGAAGGAGCAACAAATGAGTTCAACACATTAACCCTGTGTTCAATTACAAATTCAGACACAAATTTCCCGCTGTTAACAGAACCGTTTGATGATGCCAACACTGTCTATTGGTATCAATCCTTGTCAAGTCAAGACAATTACGTTTGCAATACTCACAGTGTCAGCATCAATGTAGATTGTGGGACAATCTGAGCAAGTTGTTAGCATCTGAGACGACATAAGGAACTTTGATCCAATACCCCTCAAGCCCTCTCCAAGGTAAGTGGCAACATCAGTGGTCAGGAGGCAGAATTTGCCCTGGATGTTCTGGGGAAGAAAAAAAGTTTGATGAAGTGTTGTAGAATTGTAGATGTATGTGTGTCCGTTAATTCTACAGGAGTGGAGCATTATAGTTGGTTGTTTACCGTAAAGAGAGATGAAAAGACTTGAAAAGTGTGGACGGCACAAGACCCATCGGAGTCGGTCACAAGCTGGCTGATGTGACAACGCCATGCCTCCTCAGCATCGTCACACACGGCGGGTTGGAAGGCTGCCAAGATGGCGGAGAAAAATGGAGAGGGGGGAGGAGGAAAACCGAGGTCTTCCAAGTCATCTACATCATCACGTAAGCTGTCACCATGGAGATGGGAAAGATATGGGGTAAAAAGACGTTTTTGAGACCTTCCCCTCCAAAGTGGTTTCTATCAGAATACCTCACACAATTATATGAGTCGCAAAATGCGAATGCCTGGCTCACAATGATGATTGTTTTTCAAAGATAGCCTACTGTACAGGTCACAGGGGGCATCACAAGGGCCAGGATTAATATAAATCATCTAACAATTATTGAATATAATAATTGAACCTATAAAATCAGGACAATAAATGGCAAACACAAACTGCGGCAACAAAGAGAAACAATGTACACATAGTGAATCTTAGTAGCAGGGATATAACGTACAATCTGTCAAGCTGCATGCCAACTAATTACCCACATATATCACAGTGTTTTCATTTAGTGTTTTTTTTACTTACACAAGGTTAAAGTCTATTGGTATCAATCCTTTTTTATTCTTTTTGACTGGGGCGTTTCATATACGAAAAATATTTATATCATACTTCACTGTAAATGGCGGCATTTATTAAATGACTGAATCTGTCCCAATCCTATATGCGGAGGCCCTCTGGTTGTGACAGAATAATATCAGTGGTTAACCGAGGTTTAGTCCCGATGTCATTCAATCGGCCGGTTGAATGACAATATTCCATTTAGTCTCCTGTCTGTCACATTCACCTGGGCAGACAGTTGGGGTCTAGAAAGTCCAGCGGAGGTTGGCAGTAGTCTGCGCTGAGACTGTGGTCCAGATTGGGCAGATGATCCAGAGGTTGGCCCGGCAACTCCAGGGTGAGACTCTCGCCGAAGTCCGAGCCGTGAGGGAGCTCATTGGCGCTCAGCGACAGTTCGTCATCCTGCACCTGAGTGTCCTCGTCCCCCCCGCACACCCTCCCCTGAGGACGCAAACCTATTAGATGTTTCAGGGGATAACAAATGCATTTGTACATGTTTATGTATTTTAGTCCTCACATCAAGGCCACCGTGGTAATCGTGCAGCGCTCCCTGCCCCGGTGTGGAAGCGTTGAGGGATTGTGCGTCGGCAGATGTGTCGTAAGAAGTAGACAGAGAATCAGTGTGATTGGTTTCCTCCGATGGAGAAGGGTTCGTCTGAAACAGGAAGGTCAACAAGGGGAAATCTATCATTTTGATCCGACTTATTCGGGCCAATAACAATAAAGTATTTCAGGCTTCAGGGTATGTAAATGTAGCATTGATCCAACAATTGAAAGTACGCACAAGCTGAGAGTGAGACAGGCTCTGGCTGGTTGAAGACTCCTCTTCCTCTGAGGACTCGTCTGAATCGTGGGGGTCCTCGTGACCAAGACTAGGGGTGCTGCCGGAGTGCTGGCTCTCCTCCAACATGTCACCCAGCTCCGTGCTGTCCAGAGAGCGCCGACGCACGCCCCAATTAAAGTTATCAACGGTCTCGCCCTGGATAAAACACACACACACACACACACATTGGGAGACAAGGGCAGAGGCGATGACAGCGGTGAATTTTGCTGCTATGAGGAGAGCATTTTCATGACAAGGTTGGATAGTTTATGTCCATTAGCATGACAAGCAAAAGCTTCAAAATGTCATTCATGGTATCACAATATGCTTGAAAGGCTGTCTGCATTCAATATAGGCCAAATCAAATTGAACTATATAACGCCAAATAGCAATTGGGTCAGAAATGGAGTTCTGCTACAAAGCTGTGACGGCAAAATGAAGCACAACTTATCCCTTGTTTGTTTTCAGCGGGAAACGAAGAAGCCACTACGGTGCTGGTTAAAGTCAATGTACATGCTGAGTGTGAGAGACCTTACCTGGAGCTCCTGGGCAGCGAGGGGAAGAGAGAGAGACACAGAGTTAGACATAGAGAGACAAGGACAAAGTATTGATGTTAAAGAAAGACATGCGGATACATTTTAAAACGCATCGAAGGGGGACGGGAAGGAAAGAGACAGACGGCGATATCTACGGTTAAAAATCAAGTGAAATACGTTTAGCACTCAGCAGGACCCAACGTGTGTAAAATACAGGGAAATGTAAATCCTACCTCTCCATCTTCCAGCTCCACATCCAGGAAGTCAAAGTCTCGGAAAACCCTGAACTGCTGCTCGCTGGCGGTGTCGTCTAGCGTGTCTTCTCTGGTTCCACCCTCCTCTGATGACACACCACTCTCCCGCACCTCCATCATGTCCAAGTCGCCACACGACGAGAAGATCACCTGACAAGGAGGAACAAAAAGGTATTTAAATCTAAGTTTAAAAATAAGTAAATAATTTGAGATATTATTTTAAGTGGAAGGAAGGATTATTATTTAATTCAAAAATATTTTACTTGTACATACAGTGAACACAATTTCCCAGAAATCAAAAAAGATGGTATAGAGGTTGACAGTACAGCACGTGGAAGGCAGCTTACAGATGGGTTCTTGGTGAGTCCAACTTCTTGTCCACAAAGAGATAAAACGTTTACCAGCTTCTCTCTGGTTCTTTTCTGCGTGAAGGAGATATAGAAGAATAAACAAATGACTGTAAATCCAAGCGAAGAATAGACATAAACTCTGCTTTGTTATTGTTAGTTGAGCTCAGTATTTCAATGGATTTAGCATTTACAGTAATCTAGCATGGTTTTGCGTGTGCTATAAACCTAAAAAAGGTTGTATATCACAATTTTACTGATGCAAAGAAATCAACCTAACTAGTCCAACTCTACCTGAGAGGACTGCGGTCGCCTCCAGCTGACGGGCACCAGGATAGTGTTGGAGTTGGATCCAGAGGAGGTGGAGGAAGTGCTCCGCGTTACAGCCATGGCTCTGGCCTTCCCCTCTCTGCCGCCCGAGCCCTGAAGCTCGTCAAACCGACGCCCAATGACTGGAGTCTGTAAAGGAAACAGAGAAGGTTGCCCTGGTGAAAAAGCTTGAGCGGTGTGGATTTCACAAACGCTCGTGACGCGTAATGTCTCTTTTCACAGACATTTTTTTGCAGTTTCTTCACCTCAGAGATGTCAAAGGTGAAGTCCAGTGTTTTCCCAGGCAGAGCCTTGGCTGAACCGTCCCACACTCTGCTGACCTCCAGGTTGGACAGGTCGCCCTGTGAGTGGCGGTACACCGGATGAACAAGGCTGGCAGAGCGTGAGACCACCAGCTTCAAGATGTTTAAGGCATCCTTCCAGTGAACTGTCTATGGAATTAAAAGCACAGTGTTGAGCATAATAGAGGCAGCGGGTTGCACAATTTATATCACACATTACATAACACGTAATTTGAGAAGGAGTGTAAAAAGAATTAGTATTGTAAGGAGTTACCTGAACAAACTTCTCAATGGTCTTGGTGACATCACCGTTGAACTGTTTTACTTGTACGGAGGTCAGGTCCATGTGGCTGAGCAGGCAGTAAATGATCTGTAGGAGAGACTGTTGCATAGCAGGAAGGCCCTTTTCCAGCAGCTGAGAGATGAAAAAAGAAATGAAGTGAGTGACAGAGCATGCAGCTACTAGATTCATCCTGCGTAGCGGCAAAGACACAAAGGTGTATGGTCAATGCAGATTAAGTTTGACCTTTAAGCAAAATATTAACATGATTCCATACTGCACACAAAAGAAAATTATTAATTTGTGGCTATCTTTACTTTGCAAACACTAACAACAGGGTACGCAATACACATTGCTCAGCACTTGCCTCAGCCATATAGGTGACCATGTTGAGTGTGATTTCGGAGAAGGCTTCATGGAGGTAGCGGCAAACCACACTGACCCAGGAGAAGGGGTCCCGTGTGTAAGAACGTGTCTTATAGAGAGTCATCACATGGGCCAAATGGGAAAGCTTTGTGTTCTTCTCCATTAAACACACCTGACAGGGGGAAAGGGAGAGCTTGTGCTTAACTTTTCTGTGCCAGTTTCATTCCTCGGGACGTTTTTTTGGAGAAGCCTGCTTAAAGGAAAGAGGGAAGAATGGCATTGTACCTGTGCGATCCTCTCAGCACTCTCCTTACAAAACTGAGTCGGATGGCCAAAGTGCTGCACCAAGTGAGGCAGCAGACACAGCACATTCAGAGGGAAACCTGCACAGGGAGCAGAAGTTGAACTTCCAACACCCACCCATTATAAGAGAAACTACAGACGTGTTGGTTTTACGCATAGAATAAGAACCGTACAGGATGAAGATCACCGTGGTCTCCGGTACGCACCTATAGACTGAGAGCTGTCGACAACAGGCACGCGGGAGACTGGCGTGAGCTGGCAGAAGAGCTGCAAGGTGAGGTCAGAGGTGGCCTGCGAGGTAAAACCTTTCAACAAAAGCTGCTGAATCCCAGAGAATCCGCTCCACCTCAGCTGAGCCTGGAGCTTCTCCAGACGCTCGCGGTTTTCGGCTCGGTCTAAGGGCACCTGGGAAAAGAGTCTCTGGTTTAAACTGAACCTGGGAGTACATTGTATTAGTATCCTAATGGAATGCATTGTGAAAAGATGATTTGTAGCGTTAAAAGCCTGTTGCTTTTAATTCAGCGCAGAAGGGATAGCTGGGAGACGCTTTATATTTATGAGAAAGGAATGTTTACTTTGAAAAATATAATGAACAAGGCAGTTTTGTAGCCCCATTAGAAAGAGTGGGAGGTTCTTAGGATGGCCGGTCCGGTTGGCAGTAAGAAGCAGCACAGCCTTTAGAAACCTCTCTCAGAAATGACCCGCAAGTGCTGACACGTCGTCAGTACATTTCCTCTCATCTACCTTTGACAGCAGCTTGTGAACGAGGCGTAGTGACATCTGATATTCAAACTCAAAGTCGGACTCCATGAGGGCCACCGCCACCCAGAAGACTGTGGCCAGTATTGTTGATGGATGGGAGACATGGGCGGGGTCCGATAGGACGCTTGGATCGATGCGGTTGGTGGAGGACGTGCAGGACCCGGGGGTCCTTCCTGTTCGAGCGAGGCCATGGCTGTTGCAGGCCTGTCGATTTAAATAGAAAAGACAACTCTGAATTAGCGAGATGCACAGTGTTCAACAAGTCCGCTCCAGCATCAAGGTGCCACACCCAGCAAACAATTGCCCTTTCTTGCCTGTATGCGATCCAAAGTTGCACTGCGAGGAGGATCACTCAGCTGGTGGCCGCACTCGCCAAACTTCTTGGGGACTGAGTAGGAGCGCTGGTGGCGTTGTGACGACAGGCCGACAAACCCCGGGCCGGGATAGTTCAACTGACCCGTGCTCTTTCTGTTCATCAGTTTCTCGCTAGTAACAAAGTCTGGCGAGGATGTCCTGCGAATCAAACATGGTGAGAATGTATGCATATACACCGGAATATGGTTGCATATGTTAAACAGGGGAATTAGTTTTTTGCAACGTAACCGCTGGCTGGACTGAATTTCTTTCCCTGCATAAAGGTCAGAGGTCTACCTGGTCAGGGCTGCCATAAGGTCACTGTTTTTCAGACACTCCGCGAGATTCACCACCACCGACTCCAGCGTCAACAACACCTCCATCACATAGCCCTGAAAACGCACCAGCACGCACTCTCATTTACTGGGCAAAGAGGGGGTGAGATGCTGCAGTGGCTCTCTCATTGGCCGCAGCTCACCTGCACCTCGTCTCCGTGTTCTCCCACCACCTCAACGAGGCGCGAGACCAGGTCAGAGACGGCGTGATTGTTGATTGGCTGTTTGAGGGCTCGGAAGATTTGGAAGGAGCGCCCGGCATAGTGACGAGAGGAGCTGCACAGAGCCGTCTGTAAAGCCACATCGCTCAGCTGATGCTCCAAGTGGAAATCTGTATAAAGAGACACATAAAGATACACGCATGCGCGTATGTTTGTTGATAAGCGGTGTTGTATTAGCAGACTCTATTTGCTCCTGGACTTTATCATTCATTGTATGTATGACATGTATTTTTCAGAAATGCTCCATGTGAGCCCTGATATTTCCATGCTTTAGGGAAAGACCTTTTACTTTAACGTGAGTAGTTCCTCACCGGACTTTGACTCCTTAAAGACGGAGACGACGTGCCGCAGGAAGTTGGAGAGCTGCTCTGTGCTCTTGGAGTTTGGGTTCCTCGGCGTGATGTCCTCGTGCACCCACAGCGGCCCAAACGCTCTGAGCAACAACAACACAGTACTCCAGGCACTGCATACCCACCACCAGTAACACCACATACATGTTACACGAGCACTTTAGCGTGTGCCTAGTGCGAAGATAGTGCACTTTGCTAGCACACCTGCTTGATTATTCGCCAAAGGCACCGGAATTGCACAAAGCGGCGGTGTAGCTGCGCGTACCTGGTGGAGAGGAACTCGATGAGTTTGTTGGTCTTCTCGTCGGTTTTGTTGGTCGTATCCTCAAGGTCCCCCAGGTCATCGGGTGTTACGAGGGGCAAATTTCCAACACTGCCAGCAGTGCTGCCGCCACCGAGACTGGCAGAGGAGGAGTTGGAGGTTGAGCTGAGGCCAGAGTCGGCCATTGGAGACGCCTGCCACTCTCGCAAGAAGTCGGGTGTATCTAAATGGACGTGCATATTGAGTATACAGAGAATACTATTAACATGTTGTTCCACAGCTTTATGGTATTGGCATATACTGCACGTTTTCAACACAATGTTATTGTCTCTCTCATGTGATCACCCAATCAATTTGAATAAATGTCAACGGGATAAACAAATATGTGTTGGCAAGTATTTTTGACTTACGGGACTGCTGGTACTCTGTGTGGTAGCTGGACTTAATGGTGAGGGTCTTGTTGTCACTTATCTCTCTCGTCAGCATCAGTACTGAAGCTATTACCTGGAGAAAAAAAGGAAAATCAGTCAATCTTCAGTGGCTTTGAATGTATTTTTGACTGAATAACTCCCCATTGCCACTTTATGCAACACATGGGAAGATCTAACTCTGACCTGGAAGTTGTTGTTGCAGGAGAGAGCAATGAGGAGGTGGAGAAGGAGACGTTTACTGTGTTCATAGACCTCAGGTCTGTAGTGGTCCAGGCCTGCCAATAAAAAACACATCCAGGACGCAACCATATGATTAAGAATACTACACTATCACAGATATCTACAGATACAAATAGATAAAACAAGAGAATGGAAATATTGGTCGTCACTGTTACTGTGTCCAGACATGAGATTCTTGAAAGGCACACACGTATCAGGGCATGTTGTTCTTCATTGGTTGCCCTGACAACACTGCTCCCAATACACAGAGGATTTCATAGACAATGTCATGCACGCAGAGGTACAGATTGTAAAATAATAGTATGCTGATAATCCAAAATAACAATACATCTGACAGGGTAAGTATGCGTCTAGATGTCTGAGGGAGAAACGCAGACAATATGGAATGTGTCCGTGTCTTTGGTGACTCAAGGAAACTGTCATGAAAGTGTAAACACCCTTTTTGACGGGTCAGTAAATGATCATTTTTCAAGTTGCTTCATGTGTCTCCCTTATCTTCCCTCATTGGGCTTGAGAACTCCACATAGTAAAATTGCCGTCTTCAATCTGAAAACACGCATCTAGGCATTAGGCATTACTTAGGCATTATTTTACCTTTGTCCCTTTGTCTTTCAAGAATAAAGTCCCAATGGGCGGACTTGCACCAAGGGAAAGTTAGATCTGAGTTATGTGTTTGCGTGTGTGTTTACGCCTACCCAAGAAGAGGGCATGTAGTAGCAGGGGAAGGTGTAAAGCCCAGTCTTCTCTCACACTGTGGTCAACCACCATTTCTGTCATGAAGATCACTGCAATGTTACACCTGAAAATCAACACAAGCACACACGGACCCAATGAGTGCACAACATATCCACAATGCCTTCTCCAGTCATGGACTGTAGGGGGGGGGGGTCAATTGGTAATGATTTTGTCCTTTGATCAAATTGAGGTTGCAAGTATTTCCAATTTTTATAATCTATTCTTACGGAAATTAAAATATCCTAGGTACTGTCTACGAGTTGGTTAATGAGAAGTCTGAACCAGTGATCTTTCTTTGAAAAAAAACTTTAATCAAAGCATTTTCTGTAGATCAACTAATTGAGAATATCATCTACAAATTTCAGTTTAGTCAAGTGAATAAGTAAAATAAAAACGCACACATAAAAAAAAATACTAAGATAAGTTTTACCTCATACATTTCCTTATACACTCACTAAGATGATTCAAAGTTAATGTATTAATGTGCTTTTGACAAAACATGCAAAAAGATTATTACTATGCTTTTTAGCCAGATATATCTGATTATCATGCAAGTCTTACTCTAGGAACTGCATTTGAGTGCAAATTGCATTTGGAATCAATGTTTCTCCATAACAATAATTAACAAGACAAACTGACTGCAAAAACAAACTGCATTTGGCTGAACCCCCCCCTACTGCTGCACCATTTATGTAATAAATCTATCCTAAAACTCATCTCCACTAATGACTTTGGAGATGTCAAGAGAGATGGAGAAAATACATTACTAAATCCCTTCTAATATTCATTCTCCACACATCAACGGCAGAGCCGGCTGGCTGGTTTTCCGTTTATCAGACCATCTGGGAGAGCAGGTGTGACTAGTCTGTGTGAGAAAATACCTCTCCTTGCTGAATCTGCTACTATGGTGCTGAAAGCAACACAGCTGTTTTAAATTGAAAGGGTTTCTTTCTGGGTGGATTGCGTCCGTGTTTGTTTGTGCATACCTATGCAGTGGTCCTCTGGGTGTGATTGTTTCCGGCAGGTAGTCCACCAGAGGAGCCCAGCAGCCTCCGTTAATCGGCATGGGTAGCGGCTGAGGGTGATTGGTTTCCAGAACGCCCAGCAGCCAACCAGCGTATGGTGGGAGAGGGTCGGCTACAAAAAACAGACCAATTCCGATGTTTAGTCAATTGTAACACCCATCTCATATGTACAAGGCTCTCTCTCTCTCTAGATTTTACTTTAATGCCATCCATTCAGCGTGCGTTGGCCGTTGATCCTCACGCACAAAAAAAAAAAAAAAAAGAGTCTCTCCCGAGTGGAAATCAAAGCAGTGTTCTTCACCATGTTTGCAGCTGTTGACACGTTAAGTTATCTCTGGGACGCCATACTAACGCAATGGTTTATTCTAAATATAAACAGTCTTGAAATCTATTCATTTTTAAGATGTTTAAGACATTTTGGGAAACATCCTTATTTGCCATCTTGTCAAGAATTGTTGAGAACACTGTTAACAATAATGAACCCACAATAAACATGAAAACTACAGGCTGCAAGAACATCTCACCAGCGCCTCTAAAGCTCACAAATGAACACGTTACATCTCATTTGCTTAGTACGTATAAAACCCCAAAACGACAATTTACCACTTCACAGGCAATTGCTTTGCACCCAGCAGAAAGCAGAAGAAGATATGGTCCCAGTTAAGAAATATTTTGACACATAACCTAAGGGACATCATTTAATTTTCAGCAGGAAATCCTTCAAATTTCTACAAAAAAGCCAAACCTTTTTATGAGAAAAAACATTTGAGGAAGACATTCTCCTTTTTAAGAACTTGACGACATGAAATCTAATTATCATGTTAAGCATGATGTAATTATCTCATCCAACACTGGCTGGATGAAAGATGTGACAGCTTTCAGGTCTTTAAAATGGACCCACCCTTGTACTTGGCAGCTCTTCTTGGTCACATGAGTGCTACCAGCAGCAGAGTCACGCCTCAAAGCTTCCCAACACACACACCCGCTAAAGATAGACTGGGCACCACCACTGCGGTGGAGGTTAAATCTGTGTCAAAGGGCACAGTGGTGGGCCTTGGCTTGTGTCCAAACAACATGTTTCATTAACAACTACAACACAAACAAGTAACATTTAACTCGGTGAGTGAGTAAGACACACTCACACACACACACACACACACACACACACACACACACACACACACACACACACACACACACACACACACACACACACACACACACACACAGACACACACGTTTTAGCTTGGCCACACCACAATAGCTGTTTGTACGGAGGGAAATAGTGACGATTATGAAGAAAGTGTTGAACATTGTGGACTAACAGGAAGAATCAGAGCCCTGAAGCTCTTTCCAAATAACAGACAGCTGTTAGTCCCCTTGTGCTGTGTGTGTGTGTGTGTGTGAGTGTGAGAGAGAGAGAGAGAGAGAGAGAGTACACACATTATTGAAAGTAACGTTTTTTACATTCATTCTCATGAGAACCAAAACAAACTTACTCTTTTCATCCTCGTAAGACCCCCCGGAGCTGTTGCTGTAGCGAGATTCTAGTCTGTTGTGAGCCCTGGCCATGCTGAGGCATAAATAAATGTAAGAAAAATACAGAATTAGCAACTGAAAACATTGAACGTCTTTATTTTACTTAACTGCACAACTGGACTCGCATGATTGCCATATTTTATCTACCTGCGAATGACTTCTGAGAGACCGAATTATTTAAAAAAAGACTTACCGCTCTTCACTCTCTCTGACCAGCTTCTTCTCATCTGTGTCTGCCAGGTTCTCCTGACCAGCCACCACGGTGTTACTGCTGGACGTGGTGCCTGAACGTAACACATTTCAAGAGGAAATCTTCAAAAATGCAGTCAATCATCCCTCACATAAAAAGCTACCTGGTTCAAAATAAAAGTCATGGTTGAGATGAAAATAGGACAGGAACGTCTCTTACCTGTCTGTGAGGTGGGTGCTTTGTTGCTGGCGGCAAAGCGATAGAATGGAGGGTTATCACAGTGCAACACCACGGGGTTGACAGGGTCAGTCTGTTGCAGCTCAAACAGGAGCTCCTCCATAGTCTGGATGGTGTTGTTGCGACACAGGTAGATGACCACTTTCTTTATCTAAAACACGTACAAACATACAGGATTAATCTTTTTTTCGGACATTATCTCCGTAACAAGGGGCCCTCCAGTTCTATTTCACGTGGGCTGTTCATCAGCAGTGTGTCGGTTTGCACAGCCCACACTTACAAATGGCAGCAGTGTCGTATCACTGCTGACTCCGCACAGGCTGATGAGGAACTGCAGGGTGATCCGCAGGTTGTTGCTCCACCTCTCGTTGGACACCAGAGCGTTCCAGGCATTCTCAATCTCTGGGCCGGGAACCTCGTCTCCGTACTGATAACGTGAGGAGAAAAACAAAACTAACAGTTAAAAGGAAAGGAGATTTTCTTGGAAAAGGCGGCATCATTTCACAAGCGAGCACAAGGACAGCTCCCTACCTTAGCGGTCATGAACATGAGGTTATTGAGCACCAGCGACGTTGCCTGCAAGGAGCCCCAGCCGTTGCCTCTCAGACTGGGGGACATGCCCTGCCCCTGACCGCAAGCTTCCTCTTCTGGTGTGCAGGGGCTCGAGGCTGGGGGTAGGAGCCCCGTGTCCACCAACTCAATGTTACTGAGCCAGGGCAGCAGGTAGGATAACATTATCTGTCTGCCGTTGGAGTGGGTGGTTGAGAAACGCTGGCTCACCTCTGGACGGGCAAAAAAAAAAGACAGAGGAGTAACCGTCAGAAGTGGCTGGGGTAAGCGTTTTGTAAAAATCAGTCCAATAACAGCAGAGACATTGGTATGACATTGAACATCTATTTGCAGGAGTTTACTTGCCTCTCGGGAGTTTTGAATGTGAGGGTTCAAAGAGATTGTGCTGTATATTAGGTACATTCATCCTTGGGATTAAATAGGTACACTAGATGCAAACATTCACACTGAAAGAGAATTGTACCTGAGAAGAGAGGCAAGGTGAGCTCAGGGTACATGCTGGCCAGCTGGATGGAGAGTTGAGAGAGGTTGACACTGTACAGGGGAGGCAGAGGACCGTGTGTTCCATACAAAATGTTACCGGGCTTCTGCTCCACCATTCGCTTGGAGTACGCACACAGCTTTGACTCCAGCACCTGCAGAATGATTATTTATCTGTTACAGCAATGATGCATTAACGGTCTTGGTCTTGTGTTTGTGCTCTCCTTTCCCATCACGCTGTGTTTATGTTCCCTATGTATGTGTGTAAATACCTGCATCAGCTGCATCGAGATCTCATATATTTCCCTGCTGGTGTCTGAGGCCTTGAACAACACCAGATTGAGCAAAGTCACAAGATCACATGGGTAATTCCTGGCAAAGTAAGGAGAAACAGTCATTAGTCCTTGTTTACTAACTCAATGGATGTAAACTACCTAGCCTCCTACATGGGGGCGTAGCGCATGATTCCCCACCTGTTGCCGCAGACAGTGGCGATGGCCTTGAAGCAACCAGAAGCTAGCTGGTAAGACCCAGTGAAGCAGCGGTCCACGGCCCAGTTGAACAGATTGATTTGGTCCGGGTTTAATTCTAAGAGCAGGATGACCACCTCGGACCCCAGACGGTGGACCTACAACAAACCGGTTATTACAAGGAGGTACTAATCCACAGGTATAGAAAATGACGTGAAAGGACTGAAGGCACAGACTTGAGGAAAACTGTGTACAATAAGTGTACAGTAATTAAAAGTTGGGTTAAGCTAAATGACTCCAACTTCATCAAATCCAAATCCAGCAACACACAAAAACCTCAACTAGTGAACCGTTGACCTACCCGTAGGTCATGACAAGCCAAGATGTTGTCGAGCCATTTGTAGAGATAGCCATCAGTAGAGAGACCCACATTGTCGAACACTGGGCCGCAACACAGAACTGCTGACATGGCCTGAGGGACAACAGTTCAACTGAGTTAACGCCAAAGTAGTGAAAGTGACAGAAGGACTCCTGTGGTGTTTTGCGGAGTTTGGGACACTAGAGAATCGTTACCTTCAGGGCGCAGTACTGGTAGCGAGTGATCTGGTGGTTGCGATCACTGTAGCGGTCGAGGGGAGTGAACATGACACTGAAGGGGCCAGCCCATTGACTGAAGAGAATGAAGAGATGGTGCCTCAGGGACTGTTGAGGAAAGAGAAAGCGCCTGTGGTGGACTGCGCAGGTTTGAGGTTGAGAGAAAGAGAGAGAGACACACGCAGTGTCAAAATAGAAAATAAGAAACATGTGGATGGATTACAAATGTACATTGAAGTCTGACTGGAACTTTGTTTGTTGGACATTGTGACACATAATGAAATGTGAAAAGCAGCAGTGATTTACCAGGAACACACTGGATGAGATTGGCCACCATCCCGCTGAAATGGGCTCTGATGTCTTTAAGCACGTCCATCTCCTTCTCATTCTCAGCCTCCAGAAGCATCCGGGTAAGATCCACATACTCGAGGAACAGGGCACCCAGGGCCAGTGAATCACGCTCCAGTGCTCCATTGGTGCTGTAGGGGAGGAGATGATCACTTTTGAATGTGCATCAGAGGGCAAGAAGTGACACTCTAGATTAAATGCGTGAGCTACCTGTCACTGATAACGGCTGCATTAGCCAGCAGTTCAAAGATCCTCAGCAGCTGCAGCCTGAGAAGGTCCCTCCTCTCTCTGCGTCGCTTGTTCTGAAAGCACAGACAGGTTTCCCGGTTACTGGTAAATATGAATGTTTTTTTGTATATACAGGATTAAATAAAGTAAAGAGACACTGAATTTAGAGGCTCAAGTAATGGAAAACACCTCTGACAGAAACAAGTACACACTATGTATACATCTACTAAACTATCTACAACTAATTACATTTCATCAGGAGAAGGTTTTCAAAAAAAATAAAATTCTGGAATCATCAGAATAGAATCTGTTTCTCTCTCAGATTGTGTTTGTGTGTTACCTCCGGCCTACGCTCCAGTGCTTCCTTCATCAGTGGATGGAGTTCTTCAACTAGCTCCCTATGAGCAGGATCAGAGAGGGACAAAAAAATCAATTGATTGCTTCATTGCTAAATGAGAATGATCAAATCATCCTTCCTTGTAGATAGAGGACGGCCTGCTTTGAGGGAAACAGAATGGTTTGTAACAGATATCCATCTTGCGCAACCCAAATGTCACATGTCCTAAAAAACACTAATCCGCGTACCGACCTGTTAGACAAATTTGTCTGGAGAGACTTTAATCTCTTTGACAAAAATGCTTGCCCTTTTCGAAAACATTTTAGATTAAAAAAAGCTAATCTCTTTGAAAATTAAATTCCTCTCTTTCACAGTGGAACCTTTGTCCTCTAAAGAAATGTGATATGTCTCTGTCAATTTTTTTCTGAATGTCAACGAGGCATGCATCTGAGTTATGAAGGGAATGTAGGAACGGATGGGATTGAGTAATAGCAGAGTGAAAAGACTTATGTAAGCGAAAAAGCTCAAATCTAGCACATAAGCTCTAGCTCCATTTTCTGCTGTGATCCTGTCAAGTGGTATCCCGTTCATTCATGCTCTGTGTGTTTACTACCATTAACAGTTAACAGGGTCTGAGCATTAAGTCAGAATTTTTCACAAATTATTCAACATCTTAGAAGGATAAACGATATGTAGCACTGGTGAGAATTATTTCTGAATGCTCCCGTTCAAATACCTGAAGACGAGAGCGTTTGTGCATCCAAACCCGAGCACCAGAGAGTCTGTGATCTCCAAACTTTCCGCTCTCATCAGCGGGACGAGCTGTTTCAAAAGCCAGGCTACCGATGGAGTTCCTATCACCTGAGCAAAAGCAAACACACAAGCATTGATCAGGCCACATCAACAACCTACGTAAAGAAACAACACGTTCTGGGAAATTAGCTCTTTTTTTTCCTGTTTTACATTTCAGAGAAGAAATGATCTTTTCAGGAAATGGAACCAATTAAATAAACTTAACATATCCAGCACAAACACCCACTTTGTTGTCGTAGGTGACGCTGCCGTCGGGAGTGGTGGCCATGATCTCCGGCGTGGAGGCTCGGAGGTGACCGGGGGACATGATGCTGGGTTTAGCCACACCGAGACACAGGATGAGGTAGTTACGCCACAGGGAGATGTAGCTGTCGCTGGAGCCTGCCGTGCTGGTCTTCTTGGCGTTCACAGGACTGCTGCGCAAAGACAAATAGGAAAATAGGCATGTGGTCAGATATGTGTCCCATGAACATGGATCGTTTGTTGAATGATCTCTCTATGGTCACACAGTTAAATACAATAGAATGATGCGGGTTCTCGTACTTGGGGTCGACCAAGGGCAGTAGCAGCTGTAGCCGTGTGAAAGCATAGGGCCAGGCGTATCCCAGGGCAGTGGGGCAGTGTTTGGGCAGGTGCTCCTGCCGCAAGAAGATGTGCAGACAGAGCACCCACGGGTCCTTCACACACAGCGCAAAGATCCAGACATGGCTGGGGCTCTTCACATCGTAGGAGCTGCTCACCAGCCGAGCCGTCCACTCCACCAGCCACTGGAGGTCAACATGGTGGCTGAGGGGCAAGGTGGACTGAGGGGGGGGAGGCGATTAGGAATGATACACGGCAGCTGAGGAAGTGACAGGAATAACTTATTGCATGTACAAATGTTACTGGCGCATGCTTTGCATAAACAAGCTCACCGAGTCAGAGACAGCGACGTGAACAAAGCTGTCCATTACAGCTGGGCTCAGCTGGTCCATCACCTCGATCATGGGTTTGTCATCGTCCTGGAGGGCGATAAAATCTATTTTTAAAACAGCGTCATACGCACATGCCACATATCAACATTACAGCTCTGCTTCCCTCATTTACCACCAGCTGCGAGATACATGCTGGTAATATCCAAATTATGACTGTGTATAACTCTCACTTTAAATCTATGACAGGAGCTTAAAATAGCGGAGAAGCTTGTGACTTGTTTCTCGCCATCTTCGCTGGGTGAAGATGTGAACTTCCTGTACTCACGTCAGCATGTCCCAGGGCAGTGAAGAGGCAGCGTATTTCTCTTAACACACCGACCGCCAGCTTCCTCGTGCTGATCTGACACGAGCAGAGCAGCAGTAGGGCCAGACCCTCAACCGCGTGGAGCACGGAGCAGTGGGGGCTTCGCTCTGGTAGTCTGGGGCTGGACTGATGGAGGTGGAGGACAAAATGGGGGGAGATTAAGTAAAGAGTACAAATATTACTGTGAGTCACCTTGTAAAGTAATGGTTTCAAACTACAAACCTCAACTCCACCTCGCGTCTTCCCTTGGAGCTGCAGCGCCAACCTCCACTGAGTGAGCAGCTGGAGAAGGAGCTTCACCGAGGCATCCTGCAGACCCTGATGGGTGTCTTGAACCTGGAATTGTTTAGAGAAGGGAATTTACAAAAGGGCTGCCAATCTCATGTTAGGATCTTTTAATGACAATTTTGCCTTTTGAATCACTCTAGTATTTTTGAAATCCTTATGCGATGGTGAGCTACACTTTGAAGTGTAAATAAAATGTATTTTGTATTTTCTCTTATCTGGCGTTTATCAATACAACAAGCCAACAATTGCAAATGCAGGATTAACATTGTATTGGCTAGGTAGCTGTTCAGAAGTACCTCGCGCAAAAGGAAATGTGTGTAACCAAACAGGACGTCCTCCCTCCAGTCTGGGAAATCAAGTAACAGGCTCTGCAGGGAATTCTGGGAAATGAGACGAAGCTCGTCGTCCATGTGCACAGTAAGTCTAAGGGGATGGATGAGAACAGATGAGTCGAGTGAACAAGAACTTATTATACAGAAAGACAAAACCATAGGTGTTCCATCAACAAAGTATTAAAAAAGTATAAAAAAAGAAAACAACATAGCCCTGAAATAGGCTATTTTGTGTGTATAATTAGAATGTGAAGCATTTCCTCTCACTCACCTTGAGAGCAGGTCAATGAGCTCAGGTTTGGACATGGCATCAGGAAGGATTCGAGGAATGGCCGCCACACATGTTCTGAACAGGTCAATTTTAGGTTTCCTTTCGCCACTGTCAAAGTTAGAAAGGGATGTTAAGCACAATCGCCCAAGTCAGGGGGAGTTAGCCTCAGCTGCAAATATTGGTAGGGCATGTTTGAGATGTCTGAGACTTTGAGATAACAACATCTAAGATATGTGTCAGCAAAATCATAAAGATAGCATAATGTCAAATGCTGTACATTTATTTATGTTTTGCATCATTTTAATAATAGTATGACAATAACCCACAACACTGAGAAGTTAAAAAAAAGAAAAATGCCCTTTGCAATTACATACGTGATCATGTCCTCTGGTTCTTTGTTGAGCATCTGAACGCTGGTGAGCATCATACAGCGACCCACCTCCTTGTCCAAGTGTCTCAAGATGTTGTCCAGAGCCTTTCGGACCTGGGAGTAGTACAAGGACATGCCTGTGTAGGACAGGAAGAGACAGCGCATCTGTTAAGAGGCTACATTCACATCACCCTGTCTAGAATGAACAGGTACACACATACCTATAAGTTTGGCTTCCTCCTCAGTAAGTGTCTTGCTGAGATAAGTTTTCTTTTTCTTCAGAGAGTTTCCAGAGGGCAGAGTGGCTCCTGTGTTGGGCATAGGAGGCTCTCCGTCCTTCTGTTGCAGAGCGTCGGCTATTACCAGGAACGCCCGCAGGCCGATGTTCATACGCTGGAACACAGAGAAAGCACAGCATCCTCACTATGTGCCTGAGTGTGCTTATCGATAGCAGTGATTCAATGGACGCTCATATGAAAAATGTCGAGGCTAATGTAGCCAAGGGACCTGATGCTGAGATGACGGGATCCAAGAGTTTTTCAGCACTTTAGGAAATTAATTAGATCTTCCTCGGGAGCCACAGCTTTGTGGAACATTTTTTCACATATGCATTAGTACTCCCAACGACCTCTAAACCGACTTAAATGAGTAAAACCGCTTGCCCTTTAAACTGCATTGATTGCAGTGATTCATTCAATTTGTAATAACATTAGGCATGATCAACCCTAATTATATTTCTTTCCTACTGCTGAAACATTTCTTACTCCATCCTCCAACAAAGAACGTTCTTCACCGTTCTGCGCAGACTGAGTACTACAAATGAAAACTGGAATGCTCATCCTTGTAACATGGCCCAGGGGATACAACGGTGTACTGTGTGCGATTGTGTGCACATGATTGAGCGTCTGTGTTCGCTCCCCTTACCTCTGGGTTGAGACTGAAGGCTTTGGCAGGTTTCCCGACGCTCAGCAGATCAAATATGATCTCCTTCATGGCAAAGTCCAGTCTCTCCTGAACAGAGGTCAAATAAACTGGTGTTATAAGATTTTAGAGGTGTGAGGCAACAAGCTGTATGTAACCTATATGACATTTTTATTACAGTATGTTTTTATACCGAGACATAGAAAATTGACAAAAAAAGATGTAAGGAAAAGGCCTTGTATGGATATAATAAGTCTGATTATTCCATATGTGTTATTTACAATAAATTACATATATGCCTTTTTGTGATCAGGTTTTATCAGAGCCACTAGAGAAAGTGCTGCAACACTAACACTAGCTTTTGACCAGTTTCTTCAAATCTGTCGAGGTAAGAATTTCTTAGTGATAGCAGAAAGAAGTACAGAATAAATCTTGGAAGTTGGCACATTGTTGGCTCCGCACCTAACACAACAAACACTGCTTCATTTCTCATGCCCTAAAGCCGAATGTACCAACTGTGTGCATGAGAGTATGTGCAAGTGTCATACACACCTGGGCAATAAACTGGATAATCTTGACAAAAATATTCAGAGGCATGTCTCTGGGCACAACGCTCCGACTACCTTTGGGGAATAGAGTGGAGGTGATGGACGTCAGACGACTGGGGGAGGAAGGAGAGACAGGGAGAGGGGGCGGGGGGTTGAGACAACATCACAACATGTTTCGATAACAACGATAACAAACATCATCACTAGAATGCCCTGGATTTGGTAAATGTCCCAAATGTTACAGCACAAAAGAAGCGGCATAAAGACAGACCTCCTTTCGCTTTACAACAACATGGTTCAACAATGTAGTTTACAATGCAACAACTTCAAAGTTACATCTTATATCTAATTGATCACAATCATGACACAACATTTGGCCGTTACCTCTGAGTTCCTGTGTTGCTCTCGCACTTTATTCGGATCATGTAGACCCAGAGCAGGCGGTAGAGCGATTCTAGAGCCACGCGGGCCATCTTTGGATCTCGATTCTGCAATTAGACAAAGATATAGATTTGAACCCTAACAAATCCTTCTTCGTTAGCGCACATCTAGTGCACTGGCTTCATCGTATTTGCACGGTAAGGACATAAACGCCGACCTTGAGGTTGGAGAGGCAATTGTTGAGGAAAATGTGCCAGCGGCTGAGGAAGAACTGCTTCTGACTGACACACAGAAGGCAAGTCACCAGAGGATACAGAGCCTGTGGTGAAGAGGGGAGACAGAGGGGAGAGACACTTCAGGCAATTGAAATTCAAAGGCCAGTCATTGAATGTAAATATGAAATAGAGCTGCCTTACTGTTTTTTTACACGTATGCAAAAGGCAGCCTATTGCTCCGACGTTTAATAAAGTCACTCGTTAAAAGGACTAGGAATCATTTATTCTAAACTGAAAATCGGATTTCTGAGCTCTTCCTTTATCAACAATAGGCAATAACAGTGTTTCACACCTCATGAATCCCTCATCAAACTGTTTTGTTTCCATCTTCAATAATCTATGTTTACATCTCTGCCATTAAACGCTATTATTATTATATTTCAGTTTCTTTCGGTCTGTCCCTTTTAATTTGTTAATTGACTTGGAATTGTTAACACACGAATTCCTCCAGTTCATAAATAACAAACATAAATCAGAACAATACCATTGCACGGTTCACATAGAGGAGTGTCTGGGCTGTTCAATCATCTGGTACGGGTATGTAGACAGATTATTGTTGAACATGAATGCCTTCAGTGAGCAGTGTGAGTCCAGGTACACCCTTCTCACGAATGGTTCTGTTAAAACTAGGTTTAGGGAGTGCATCATTTACCTGTCGCTCCTTATCAAAGTTGCCATTTGTCATCTGTCACCCTCGCATTTCAGTGTCACCTCTCTTGTCTATCTCAGGTGTTCAGAGTGCGTCACAACTGTCATTCCTAACATGTCTGCCCATTCTACTGTGACACTGCTGGTGTTGTTCGGTTGCATGCGTCTGTCCAGGGCTTGTCTCGAAAACGTTTGCGTGCAGAGGAGGTGTTTCAAGCCTTGATTAGTTTGTTCTGAGCATTTGGAGAATTCAACAAAAGAAACAGGCGTTACGGCCGAGTAAGTAATGTCTGCAGCCCTTAGGCCGTGACTCCCCGTGTGGGAGGCACCTGAAAATATATGACAAAGAAACCGGCAATAACGCAACACATCTGTCATCGGATCTGTCTGTCAAATGGCTGTGGGATACAAACCAAAACCAAAGGGTGGGAAACATCTCAGGGGAAGTGTAAAGCACGAGTAAGATTAACCAGGTTATTGCGCTAACATAACTACTGTATCCTTCTCGTATGCCTCCGCCAACCGCTCAAGTAGCAGTTTACATCCTTGTCGGTCCACAATGTCATTTTATTACCAAGGTGTCATAATTATCATAAAAATCCTTGAAGTTATGGCCAAATCTGAATCAGTTCAAGAAGACCTTTATGCCAATTTACAGTGTTGCCAATGTAGAGGCTTGTTTCCAGCAAAAAGACTTTAAGAAATAAACTAAAGATGAACTAAGATGAAAAGAAACAAATAGGAAACATTTGACCCTTTGTGTTCTCAGGAAATACTGCTGTTATAATCTGTCTGGCCTGCATCACAAGTCATGGCCTGTCCCATCATTTCCTTGACGTTCATTATTTTTAATAACTTTTTCAGCAGTGAAGAAGGTCCTTAATATACCAGTACTGAAACTGCGGTTTGTAGGTGAAAGACCACTATCTCGATAAGAAAGGTGTACTGCTTTTAAAACGCCCGTACGCCGCGTCCTGCACTCCTCTCCACGGCAGCAAGCTAAAAGCCCACATATGGGAGAGTTCCAGTAAGTGCTCTCACCAAGTGCTCCTAATGGAGAGGAATTGAAGAGAGGGGCACTGAATAAAAGGAGAAACTTACCAGAGAGTGTTTCTTTCTGGATGACAAGTCCAACGTAGTATCGTACAGACTTTCTACAAAATTTCGCAGACACGGCACGTTCACCTCGTTCTTCACGGTCTGCGAGGAGGATGAAAAGTGCAAGAGTGAGTGTCCAGAAGTGTTTTTGTTGGGTCCCGACACTACTTGATGCATGCGGATAGATAAGACACTATACATTCAAGCTAGACATTTGTCTTATTGTTCTCATTGCTCTTATGATCATTGTCCAGGTAAAAACATTATATAAGGAGAACAGCAGAAAGACAAAAGCTAAAGTACACTGAGGTGCTCAGCAGTAAGATTAAATGCACTTACAGCAGCTACAGGTACAAGTATTTCCACAAAGAGTCCGGCTAACGAGTGTTTAATGTCTTTATCCTTCACTTCCAAGAAATACTGCGCGCACTCCTGAGGAGACAAAGAGAGTAGGAGACAGTTACAGAAACAAGGTATGTACTTGACAATGCTGCAAATGCTAGGTCGCCTCCTCTAATCCCCGAGTCGTTACGGGGTTAGGAAATGACAAACATTATCACCACTGCAATTACCATCAAAGGGGCAATAAAAAGGCACATAACCCCTAATTACTCGAGGGGACCCTCTTAATAGTCGAGTTAGGATATCTCTCTGATAGCACTAAACCTCTTCAGGGGATGAATGTGTGCAGGGAGGAGCATTTCTACAATTTGTTAAAATCAAGTAAGGGACCAAGTGGTTTGAGCTCTACCTGCATGAACTGGAAGGAGGCTTCAAAGTCCTCCACCGGGTACATTTTGATGCGGAAGAACTTGAGTCCCATGATGAGGCTGATGGTGGACTGGATGACGTAGGGGCTCTGCTCCTTCTGCCTCAGCTCCTTCAGCTCGGAGATGAACTTCTTCCTCACTGCTGGGAACCTGCCGTGTAAATGGCGACCACGTTTGAACAGTCGCTCCCAGTGAATTGTTTTCATGACCAGGCAAAAAGGAGTGAGTTTACTATTAGCCTGTCTGTGTCCGACAACCAAATTGACTTTACCAAAAGCGCTGTGCTAGCCCTATGTTAAGAATGGCATCTGGACAGATGATTTGGAGGGAATGCGCATGTGTGTGCGTGCACTGATTCTTTGGGCGTCTGGGTTTTTTTTGCCAGCCCCTTTGCGTGTTTCACTGGGGTTACCACAGCGGCTCAGTAAGGGGAACAGTCATCATCCTTCTGTTTACTGCAAGTGTTTAAATAAGATACACAAACACCCACATAATGCCTGCATACGCATAAAGTACGCATAACTTTTTCACAGCACAGTGTGTGAATAATGAAACACAAACAAATAATGATGAAAGCAGAGCTAATTATGTCAATGAGCTGGAAAAATAGAGATACAGGTATGTGTGTGTTTGTGTGTGAGCGTGTGACAGCAGAGACTGAGCAATCCAGTGAAAGCTACTCCATCCCAGTAATAACCTCCTGGAAAATGCGAACCGTGCTCATCTGTCATCACAACATGACAGACAGACGGAGGACCGTCATTATCCTCATTGGTCATCAGGCATTTACACATCCACACAAACAAAAGCACGCACAAGCACTCACAAGAGCAGGCATAGTTTCTTTCTCACTTGTACTCAAAACGGAGGTACGGCATTCATGACATCAATTGCCACTTATTTATAACTTATTTTCAAATATTTGGGCATACGGCAAAATACAACAATCTTATTGTTGATGCTGTTTATATACAAACATTTAAATCGCAAGCACTCACAAAGAAGCAGTACAAACACTGATTTGCACGTTACCTGGACTGAGCTACAACTCCCACGACTTCAGCATAGAGGTCAGCCACTATGTGCATGTTGCCTGTGTTGGGTCCCAGATACCTAAGAAGTGACCACAAAACATGAACATCACAGTATGTGGCTGTTCACATTGAGAGAACAATACACACATTTGCCACATTTGTATGAGCTGAGCAGAGAGAAATTGCATGTTGAAGGCAACGGCGCACGTCAATACGTTGGGAAGATTTGAAATAAGAAGTAAAGTATTCCACTGTAATTCGATGCATTCAAGAAAATGTGTTGTGCTTCTACATGTGATCTGGCTTACCCTTCTTTGTATTTGAAGTGCTTGAATGTCAGGTTTATGACTTCTTGGATGAGTCCGTCCAAAAGAGGATGAAGGGGGATCTGGATTAAAAGAGAAAAGTGTATTATTATTTCATTCCGATTTCCATCTTTTCACTGGATGGCTCGGAACTTTTAATCATAACAAGTCAACATAAAATACACAAGAAAATACGAAACGCTAAATTTAGATAAAGTCTACCAGGAGCGGGTGCAGGAAATACCAAGTAAGTTGGTTGACGGGAGAATTCACGGCGTCGTATTTGGCCGTCCAATCGGCATTGACAGCAACTCGATTGCTTCGATTGAAGCAGTAAATTCTGCAGTGTGTGCCTGTCTTTAAAGCCCCGGATTCCCGTTGGCCACAACAACAGATCTTGAAGATGTTAACCCTGCTTTTCTCCGTCAATACGCTCTTACCCAGGAATTTATTGCTTCAATTGACAACAAGTAGCATCAGCAGTGATTGCAATGTTCACGTGAATTAGTTAAGTAGCCAAAATCATTTCCTAACTAATAGTACTTAACCAATTGAGGGATATACTGTTTCACAACAGGCTTTCGTTTTTATTCATGCTGACTAGTGAGATATGTTGTCTAAGTGTTAAATCAAGACTCACCTGCTTCAAAACCTCAATAAGCACCAGAGAAAATATGAAGTCTATTGCCAGATCCCTCCGCTCCAATAGGTAGTCTTTCTGTTGCTCGTCACTGAAACAAAGAAACAGTTTGTTCTTACACTTGCCTTTGTACTCAACACATTAGAATCGGCTTTTATTACATTTCCGACCATTAACTAATTGAAGGCACCGTCAGGGTAATTTTGTAGCTGTTGTGTGTACTTAGTGTGCAGTGTGTTTGAGATATGGAAATAAGCTTCTGCTGTTCATTTGTGTATTTTATTTTTTTATGCTTTTTGTGTGGCAAGGCTGTATGCAGTTAGTGCAGGAAAAAAAGTAATACACTGAAGTACGTCTGACATGGTAGTTTGTTGTGTTTTAGCTTTAAGCTTCACGATGTATTATTTGTTTCTGTAATTGAGACCTCCGAATCTACTCCGAATGAAATGTAACTCGAGGGCATGTGCCGTTTGTGTCCTCTCACTTCTTCGATTTTGTGTTGGCCCTGGGTCGATACTCGTGGGACTCGTCCTCCAGACCGTTCTGCCTCTTGTACCAGTCAAACAGAGTCCTCAGGATGGATGGCAGGCAGTACTCTGCTAGAGAACTCATACTGCTGATGAACTGCACCGAACGAAGGAGTGGGCCATGTGAAGGTGAGCAAAGAAGAGAGAGAGAGAGAGAGAGAGAGAGAGCAGTTAATCCCACTTCAAAAATAAAACAATTCTGTGGCGAGTAAAATGTGTCCATATCAGCAACACAAACCTGGTCGAACTGTGGGTCCTCTCCCCTCTGCAGAGACTTGTTAAGTGGCTTCTCCTGCGACATAAGAATGGAGAGAAGGGGAAACATGTCCAAGGAGATGAGAACAGGTAAACATTTTGCTATGAAACTTTGTAATCACAGCCAGGGCTGAAGATATCGAACGTTTTGCTAATTGAGAATTCAACAGTATACCAAGCGAGTGATATGATAAGAAATACTTTATTTATTTAAGGGTATTAGTACATACAAAACAACACGTAATTGATTTCCTTTCTTGAGAAAAAATCCCCATTTTCTTTATGAAATAATATATGAAACCCATTTAGTGCCATGTCATACTTTTTATTTTCTTTTAAAGTATAACTTAAAAATACTGAAGACACTTGAGACGCTGTGTTGGTGCTAAATGTAAATGTGATTATCAGCTAAGGGCCTAAAACAAGCCAGACTGGACAGAATCCCCTACTAAATATCAAACATGCTGCTTAGACACCGCCCTTGTTATGTTCTTTCATGAAACATATCAAGTGTTCAGCACTAAGCGCCCTTAACATACTGTAAAAGCTTTGCACCCTACCTCTTACACCACTTTGAGTAAGAGGTAGGGTCTATATATATATATATATATATATATATATATATATACATACTATTTAGCTCGGAGGCGCATTGCAGGCATCCCTTCCACTGACGAAGAGTCTACATATAGGGGCTCTGTATGACCCAATCAGATGAAATGGATACCTAAATGATGCAGCAACCTGAGAAACACTGGACGAGACGCTGAGACAAAACAGAATAAGATACGGTCGGAAAGTCACTCACCAGCGGTTCGGCCATGATGATGCGAATCTTGCGTTCGGAGAGCAAGGTGAAGTTGGCAAACAAGCTTTTTAGGACGAACTCGCCCGGCTTGCTCTCAGGGTCCACGTTGACGGGCGCCATGACGACAGGACCCTTCCTACCTCCCAAGGTTCCACTGACTGGCGGGAGGGGCGGCTTCTGTTCCACTGGAGAGGCTGGGGAGTCAGGACAGGTCAGTCAGTCCGAGGCAGAATTTTTAAGTCTTTCCAAAAAAATGTGTGATTACTTTGTTATTTTTTTTTAGAATCTATTGACAACCCTATCATGTCGGCCCGAGCAGAACCGTGATCTGGGCATCACAACCACTTCTGCAGCTGCAAATTGCTGCAATACAAAGCCTCTGCTGAGACCTCCTGCTCATTCTCCGGCCTCCCGTCCTACTAAACCTCACTCCTTGAAAATCTATTCTTCATTTATTATTGTGAAGTAAAACTCCTTTGTTATTACTACAAGCTCGACAGGCAACACTCTCCAGGCACACATATACATATACACACGCGCACACACACACACACACACACACACACACACACACACAGACAAAAACACGTGCTGGGCAGGTCATGTTTTCATTCCTCCCCTCTGATTCCATCATCATTATGGAGCCTGGGCACATGGGGAAGATAAATAAGGAAGGGCTGAATTCTCGCGGGGATTTGACTGAGAGACATTAGGATGGACAGGGCACTTCATGTCAGGAGTATCTAGGAATACTGGCTTGCCCTTAAAATAAAACAAACTCCTCACTCTAAGAAATGGCGTCTGTTATGTTAAAGTATGGGGACTTAAGCAATAACTTTGTGGATATTGTGCAACTTGTATGGAAATCTATCATACGTCAACCAATGTAGTTTACCAAAGAAACAAACTCAAAAGGTTACTTGTATGACTGAAGAGGGTTTGAGTGTTAAATTCCCTAAACATGCTGAAAGGAACAATGTGCATAAAACACTTTCCAAAAAGGTTAAAACGAAGCAATAATTCCCCTGAGCATTTCCGCGTATTGAGTGTGTGAACAGTGTCAGGTCAAACTGACCTTTCATGACCGCGTGACCCAACCTCGGTGGAGAGGTGAAATTTAAACACTGATTCCGGGGCAGAACGGGCCCCGGGGGCCTCATGGACAGTGGCTTGTTTGTATGAAAGCCGAGCGCTCGAACGAGCCAAAACTGTGCGTGCGTGCACTTGGAACGCACGCACCCCCTGCGTGCTTACCAAGGCCCTTGATGAAGCTGATGACACTAGCCCTGCTCCATCTAGTTGGCACTTCCATGGTGCGGGCAGCCAGACGGCGAGGAACAATGGTACGGCGGGTAGACGTGGGTAAAATGGGCTGGAACAGAGGGATGGAGGAGGGACGCCAGAGGATGTGGGGAGTTGTGGAGGTGTAGCTGTGTCTACAAGGTGTAAAATAAAGCTCCAACGACGGACAAATAGACAGAATTTCTTGCGGACCGATCAGCAGCCACAGGAGAAGGTTGCCTTTAACATCCAACTATTCGTCCATGGCAGCTTTAACCAAAGCAGAACGTGTGGAGCTCCATCCTTCAGAAAGCCGACAGACAGGTAAAGCGAGCCGGATCCCACGTTCAATCCGAGGGAAACCTCCGCAGACCCCAGGGAGCCATCGCCGGCCTGAAACCGGTGCGGGTGGAGACGACTCAACGGCCTTCGTGCGTCCAAGTGTCTCAACCGCGGCGGAGACAGGAGACGCCGACCTGTCTCCTCAAAATAGCAGAAGAGACGACCAACTCCGTCATGAGTGAACTCTACCAAAGGGGAAAGAGATATGTTCCAGTGCGCTGCTCCGGCGGTAGATCCAAGGCTGCGTAGGGCCCCATGCTCCAGAACTACATGAGACTAACTATCGGTTTCAACTTTGGCTTCTGCTGCGGCTCCGGCCCGCTGTCACGGCGCGGCGCGCCAGCTCTTCCGCCACCACGGGAGCCCGCGCATTGGAGAAGTTGCGTTGAAACGAAGCGCTTCTTTGCAAGGGTTGAGGCGGCTGCCCTTTTAGTTGTCAGTGGCAGTCAAGTAAAGTCTGCTTGTGGAGATCTGACCAGAAGAGTTGCGTTGGAATTTCAACACTGCCCCGAGAGAGAGAGAGGCGAGGGGAGGAGGGAGGCGCTATATTTAGACCACTGGAGGTCACTCTCTTACATACCCACCACTCCCACTGACCGCCACTCACACACACACCGCACACAGACACACGCACACACACACAAACACTGACGCCGGCACACTTGCGAAAGACCCACATATAAGCAACAATTTTCCCAGGCAGACAGTGGCAGATCAGGAAAACTCCGTAATCTTATTACACCCGAAAGTAAATGGCACTGATCTAATTTAGAGAATATAAAGTTGACTCCAAACAGAGATAATCCGGTAAAGCTTCTATGTGACATGAATTTAAGACGTGTATACATGTCTGTGTGTGAGCCTTGGGGAGAAGAAATGCGAGTAGAAGGGCGTAACGTCTCCAATATAAGTGGTCGATATAGCACACCTTTGCACATCCCGGGACCCTCGTAAACAATTGCATGACTTAGCATTTCAAGAGATTAATCAGCAGTAATTGAACACTTCTAGTCATGAAAATTTGACCTTTTTTTAGTAACATTTTCATATGCTGAAAGGTTTATTTAATAGCCCCGGGATGCCAAAATGAAAGATGAGAGAGAAGCAGACGGGGAGGATGTAGAGGACCTAAATGGTTTGGTTGATTAATTGATGCACATAAAATGTACCCGCAACTATTCGGATAATAAAACTAAATGTTCACTTGTTCTTACTTCTCAAATGTGAAGGTTTGATGCTTTTCTTTGTCAGCAATGACAAGAGTGAAGTGTGAAATAACAGAGGCACTTGAATATCTCAATATTATGTTTTTATGATGCAGTGTGGATGTTACAGGACTGTGATAAATGTTGATGCCGATCCAACTAATGTCATTAAAAAAAAAGGTGAACACAATTTTACTATGATTTTATGCATACGCCACATGTTCTTTGTAGATGACAATTTCCCTTAAATATTATTTTAAAAATGTCAATATGTTGCCTTGCTTGCAGTATTGCAAGAATTGTTACCACTTATCACAGGATTCTTTTCATACATTACCTTAAACAAAAGGTCAAAAAGACATCCACTCAGCATAAACATAGGCACAAAAAATTCAAGGATCAATAGATAATAGTCGTAAATCCTCATTACTATTTACTAGTAATTCATATCTAGATTCAGGTTAACCTTCTACCATCACGTCATATCGACAAAGAAGAATTCTGAAGTGATGACACATGACTCATGTGAAATCATGCGCGTGTGACAACACAAGACCACGGCTTTCAAACTCATGTCATCGGCATAGAGGTCGAAATCCAGACCGCAGGAAGTTGACCTGGGTCGGTGAGCATCGTAACGAGTCATCTTGGCTTATAAAAAGACAAATCTATCCTGTACAGCTCGTACGGCTTGTCTGCAGTGCAATGAGTCATTTAAAAAAAGAAAAGAGGCAATTACCACCAACACTGGATTGCCGCAACGACTGCCGCAGACATGACCGAACAGAACCAAACGTGACAGGTCCTTGTTTGATTCATGTATTCTGGCATCTACCCTGTGGTAACGGTCCGTTGGCTTTCAGAAAATTAAATATAATAACATAACATAATTTAAAGGAGTTGATCCTTTTGTTTACTTTTGTGTTCTTTTAACCAGCTAGCTTGTCTGCAGTCTGTGTGTGTAAGTGCGTGTGTGTCTGTGTGTGTGTGAGATGAGGTAGTTGATACAGGCCCAGACAAGTGTACCGCTGGCGTGAGATGGAACAAGTTCAACTTGATGAGGTCAGCTGTTTATCTAGCAATTACATTCAGTAAGTACGTAACTCCTGCTGGAAGTGCAAAGCAAAGCCTTCTGATCGTGTTCATCTTCACGACCTTGGGGGGGCGGGCCAACCGAGGCGACTAAATTAGGTCCTTCACCAGTCCGTCCCCATCTCGTCATGGTTCCTGTGGTTTTTTTTTGTTTTTATGTCACGTAAATGGCCGCGGGAGGGATGCGGGGGGAGATAAATCAACACATCCCCTGCAACTCCTCTGTTATCCTCACACCAACATAGCCCCTGCTGACAGTAACCTTCAGCACACCGCTAAACGGCTCCCCCCGCATACATGGGGCAGGCAGGCTGATGACACGCGACACAAAGACGATTTCGAAATATAACTTCAAAGCATCCCACAACAAAGCCCCCACACATACGTGTACGTGGAGAGATGAAAGCTAAAGTAAAAGCAGTGTTCCGTTACATGGTCTACGTGTAAAAACGGTGATGACCACAAGCAAGAAACGTTGCGGCTAAACTGCAGGCTGCATGGTCCCGATTGTATTGAGTCCCATTAATAAAGCAGCGGTGCGGTTTTGCTTACTGTCACGTCGCAGGTTCATGAGCCTGGAGTTGAAATTGGGGAAAGTACAGCGTGTCCAGTTGGCGACGGACGCAGATGATGTTGCTGTTGGGCATTGATCACCGACTGCCTCGGCGTGCCAAACGGTCGCCATACTTTCTGTTTGGTAAACAATGGCTCACTGACTGGGAAGCTGATTAAGATGACTGTGAGAGCCCCGTGTATTATAGTTGACAGAATGTCAACACAGTCTGCGTGTTTCACTTTTGATGCCGAGGCACGGAGATTGAAGAAAGTCAGAGACTGTTTGAATAAAAATGCTGTACAGACAAAACCGCCAGATTTACTCTCAACTAAACCAGGGCTGTTTATTCTCGCTCAACCCTCCGTCTTCTATTATTCCATTACGTAACATTGCCAGATATTGACAGGGTGGATCATGCTGCATGCCGCCTGCAACACAGATTAACAAAACCCAAACATGCGTAGTCAGTGCTCTGGTCTGATCGCGCCAGCGTCAGTGACTGCGATGTGGTTTGCTGTACTCACTCCCTCCCAAGGACTTGAGCAGAGACTTGATGCTGATGTCAAAGAAGCCCGAATCCTGCTGGCTGGTCGCCATGGCCGCGGAGGCTGTGTCGCCACGGTGACAGACAGCCGAGGGAGGACAGGACGGCAGGATGCCACGGAAGGGAGAGAAAGGGCTGGGAGAGAGAGAGAGAGGGATGCGGGTGGGCACAGCCGGCGATGCGGATGTTGCGTCTCTCTGCTGTCGAGTGCGTCCCACTCTGTGTGTGCGCATGTGCACAAAACCGTGTGTGTGTGTGTCAAAGAGAATGAGGCAAAAAAAAAGGCAATCAGCCTCGTCTGCGCTTTGCGTTGCTATCTTGCTGGCTAACGCTCCCCATCCTCTCTCTGTTTTGCTCTCTCAGGACAGTGATACACAGATGTTGGTAGACACCAACAGCCAATCCTCTGAGATGAAGAAACAAGAGAGAGAGAGAAAAACAGGGAGGGAGGGAGGGATGCAATAACATACAGTAGATGCCGCTGCACGGAGGGAAGGACACTGAGCAGACAGTGGGAGGACGGATAATGAAGTCAAGATGATAGAAATAAAAAGGACGGACATCAAATGTTTCCCAATCACTTTGGTTCTGTTCTGACTCACAATTAGTGTGGACCAATGAGGCTAGAGCAGCACTGATTGGCAGTCAGTACCAACCAGTAGTCAGGAACAATAATAAGGGGCTTAATGAATTCGTGCTGCAGGTACAGTATATTCTCACCGAGGTCTGAATATATATTTTAGACACTTTTGTCCCACAGCGCAATGCACGATGAATTGTCTTTAGTTTTTTTATTTAACTGATGCTCTCTCTTTTTTGTGATTCCTGTGTACAAAATAACTCCTTGTTCCCTATATGATGCCCAATAATAAATTAATTTCAAGTGGGGATGGAGGGAGATGGAGAGGGCTTGTGTTGACATGACCCCCATCTACTGGGTTTTTATTTTGGTTTGACGCAGGAGTTCTAATATGAAACATCAGGTACCATATTCATGCGTGTGTAAATAATAACACACAATGAACAACTGTGACCAACATGCTCCCATGGCAATTAATAGCTTCCACTTGTTTACCAGTTAGCCTCATTTTATGTTGTCTGAGTGGTAGAGGAAAGGCTTTTGGGAGGTTGTGCGGGGAAACAGTGTGAGGGAGTGGACAACTCCTCCATTGCGTTACAAATAAAAAACAGTTTTCTGCTGTTTCTGACTCTCACAGAACTACGAGATGGATCGGCTGCTGTTTGTTTTTCAGGGGTGTAGCTCTAACCAGAGCACATTTGTTTTACCCTGCCAACCAAAGGCAGGTGATGATTTGTCAGGGCGTCAAACAACACACTCTTTGTGACAATTTTCGACACAACGTTCTACAAGCTGCTCCACTAAATCAACTGAATTGGCGATTCAATTCCTGCTCATGTGCTCACTTCAGCAGCAATGATTCTGGACACTGGGCGATTTTGCAAATATAGTTGCAGCCTAAGAAATCATTGATAACATCTGCTCTAGTAGTTACATGTTTTTTTTTTATCTTGGCTTGGGAAATTTGAGTGAGTAAACAACGCAGCTACCGGGCTTGCCTCATAAAACGTCTCGGAATGACCATTTCAACCAGTTTACCGCCGCACCCACTTTTAATTGGTCACTCACCTCCTTCGCTAATTACGCCGGCCAAAACTCCCAACAGTCACCCGTCCTTTGCTTGCAGCTAATATTGACCTACCATTCCAATGCATTCATAGAGCTCCAGCATTGCTGCTCACAGTTACAACAACGTGGAGTGAAAAAATGAAATGCTTTCCCTTCTCCTCGAACCGACGAGGCATGGCGGCCATTGTGACAGTGACGCCCCGGTTGGCGGGTTAGGGTTGTGGAAGCACAAGTGGATAATTAGGGTCATTGTGCAATTCCCCGGACCAACTGCGGAAGTGCCACAGGACAGCGGGTGAGGAGGGGGGGGTACTACACGGTATCACGCGAGGCAGCGGAGGCTCGCGGGAACGCCACAGAGCACAGGATGGCCTGGTTCACATTAACAGACAATTACGCTCTAATCCCAGAGGAGGAGGAATATAGAGAAGGCCTTCGTGCTGACTTAATGAGAATCATTTGAACGTGTTTAACGTTGCAAAAAAGTGAGGCAGATTGGACTTTTGATAAAAAAAACGTTCTCCTGCTGTGTGCAGCACACAGCTAAACTCAAAGGCGGTTGTTAAACATTATTTCGTCTTCTGTGTCATCTCTTCATGCTCACGAGAAAGTATGAACATGTCCAAGGGTTGCTGTTTGTTGACCCCAATCCTATCTTTTTGGGTAAAAAGGCTGTGGGAGGTTTCATGTTATACGTGGGCAAACGCTACGTGATGACACAAGTTGTTTTGGGAGAGCAACAGTTCTCCCTGGATTCAAGAGAAATAGAACAGAGACGAATGTGTGTGAGCATTCGGTTTTTGTTCATCTTCTTATCAATTCTAACTCATCCCCTACAATGGGGAGAGGGACAGAATTGCCACAGAGCGACACCCATTCATAAGGGTTGCAGATACACCCCACACACAAACACACACACACACACACACACACACACACACACACACACACACACCCTAGTGGAGGTCCTAGGATTCCTCACATTCTGAGCAGGGGCCTGGGCATGCCAGCTGTTAGAATGTTACTTTTCCAAACACACACACACACACACACACACACACATACATGCATGGATGCACACACGTACGCATACAGTGAACTCCATGCCATGTGCTTGTGCGTGTTAACTGGTCCATCACAATGAAGCAGAGCCACGCAGCCACAGAGGGATTGTTTGAGGGTCACAGTTCACACAGTGGTGTCTCCTTGACACAGCTGGGCTGACCAAATAGATAAATCTAGTGCAGAATGTGTGTGTGTGTGTGCGTCAGCAGTTTTCATGCCAGGCATACCTGTCACTCCAGCATCTAAGCCACACATTATCACAGCCACACATTATCACAGCATCCATGTGTGTCGACACTTTGAATTTAATGATTGACGTGCTCATTAATTGAGAAGTGCATTTCTCCTGAAACAAGTTTGTACATGTGGTAATTTGTTTCACAGGAATCACCTCACTCCAGACTAGGTTTGCAAAGGGCGGACAGTTTCCTGACGAATTTGGGGAATTTTGAAAAAAAAGTTTTTTTGCAAAAGCATATAACAGGGAACTTAAATGTAGTTGAGAAAAAGACTATGCACGCCTAGCTCAGCTGGACCCTGGATGCAGCTGGTTGGGAACATGTCTGCCAGAAACATAAACGTAAACATAAAACGTTCTGTTGTTTTTGATCGTCTTTGTCATTACCTAGCAAATTGATTACTTGGTAAACTGAAGCCATGTTCATTTTAATACCAAATTTATTTGTATACAGTAGACTAACATACTTTACACCACTGAGAGTAGGATGTATGAATGTCCACACAAAAGTCACCCCGATTATTCACAGCTTTCGGGTCCATCAAAAAGCGCGAGTTGGGCCACTTCTCACACTACAGCAGGTCGACTCAGGTAAGTTTTGATGATATTACTGGGCTAAATATATTATCGATAAGACAAACAAGCTGCTAGTCATTAAGAAACTGACAGCTCATAGTTGGAGAAAAGCTCAATTCTGAGCTGACATGAGCGGGAGATGGGCTACTGTACAGTGGAGGTACTGGCTGTGTTCGAAAACTCTTAACAGTAAGATAGCTGTCTTACTACCTTACTAGGGGTCTGACTCTGACATTTTTTACGAGTGATGGTATCTAAAAAAAAAAACATGTTGCTTTTTGAACGGTCTTTTAAGATAGTTGAGAAGATGATAACGTGTGCCGTTGGTGCGCTGAAAGAACGCTAGGCTATCTAACGTACCAGCACGTATCTTTCCTCATTTTCAGATCATCCATGAGTTAAGAGTTAAGGTTTAAAAAGATGATTATATGAATACTGTAACTTTGATTCACTCTGCACAATGGCATAACATGTACATTATGATTTGGGCCTGACGAGGCCTTCAACTCAGAGTCCCCCCCCCGTCCCCTCACGCTCCCCGCTCGGCCGAACCGTTTACCCAACTACAACCCCCCCTGAAGTTTTAAACCTAGGGGAAACATGTCCTTTTTTTCTCCTCCGACTCTACATATAAAGACGATTAGTGGAGCAGTGGTGTGCCGTTTCTCTCTAAACAGAAAAGGCATCACTCTTCACGGGCTCTAAAGAAACCAGTACAATGACACTAGTCAGGTGGAGTTCTTAAATGCACAGAGTGGAGGATATCTCACCGAGGCGACAGGTAGTAAGAGATCTGAACCATCGCAAGTTGTGTAAAAAGCCCAGCCCACATTCCAGCTGGGGGGTAGGGTGGGAGTCGAGGATCATTCTTTCAGCTTGATGTCCGACCAGCTTTTCCACCTTTTCCAGCACGCGGAAAAAAAAGACAAAAAACAACCAAAGGCGGCTCACATTCAAAAGTCAACCTGTTCCGCGTCACTCACTCCTGCAGGCGAATTGTTTTTTCACCTTGTTGTTTTCACAAAAAACACCAATGCCTGTCGGTTTGCACTTACGGTCAATGATCCTGGTCCTCTTTCTGGGCCACTGGATCTTGGTGAACCTCCCGGTAAAGTCGCTGGGGTCAAACATGTCCACGGGCAAGGAGGCAATGCGCTTCATGACGGCCCCATCCTGGCCCTGGATGTCCGGCTCCAGACCTGAGTGGCAGTTGCAGTGGACCGAAGTGCCGTTCACAGCCCCGAGACTCACGGTGCTCCTTGCGACTTCTCGGGACATGTCTTTTAGTGACATGTCTTCTAGTGACATGTCTCCGCAACCCACAGGAGCTCGACCTCCCCTCCTCTGTTGTTTCCTGTCGAAAACTTGCCCACCTCAGAGCTCGTTGGGAGACGCTCTACATGATGCTTCTATAGTAGACTTAGCAATCCCAAAAAAAACACACAACATACACGAGTCGCTTAGTTCCAGAAAAACTACTCTTTAAAGAAAAAGGAGAATCAAAGGAATTCCACTTTTGTTTTCTTTATCTACTTTTTGTCCTTTTCTTTAGTTATCCCCTTTTTTCTGGAGAAGGGTTCTTGTCTTCATTCAATCCCGAGCCGGTGAGCTCACTGCTTTGTTGTTTCAGATACACGTCCCTCCTGAGAGTTCACGTTCTCCCCTCCGGAGTCCCTCACTCTTGCTTTGAAACGAAAGAAAATAGTCCAGCCATCATCCTCTTGTGCTCTCTTTTGGCTCTAACGTGGTTGCTTGTTCCTCTCTCTCACCACTCTGCGACCAAGCTGTGTGTCTCCGCTGTCAAGTGAGGAATAAGGAAGGGATCCAATTCCAACAACAGCACCTTGATTGGGTGATCTGGGAGGTTATCTTATCCCCGGTCCCGCTCACCGTCTTCTTTGTACTTTTTCTCTCTCTCTGTCTGTCTCTCTCTCTGGGGTTTTCCAGCCACCTCCCTCCTGTCACTCAGCAACCACGGAGTGGCTTCTCTCTGGGCTCGCTCATAGTGAAGAAGTGTAGCACGGCATGCTTGTGCTTGATTCAAACAGCCAACACATGGACAGGTGGGCGGTAGCGTCTCTGCTCTCACTGGTCGAGGCTGTTTAGCCAGTTACAGTAAACTCAATGTATTAATGGTGTAGGATTACAGGGGGCAGACACACCCCTTTACGGAAGGTGGAGGGGGGGAGGGCAAAGCCAAAAACAAAGAATCCTGAACGCAGTGTTCTGTTAAAAGTCTCGATTAGCAGATGTATTTCAAAAACATATTTAAGCGCCCACATATTTAAATACTCATCTGTTTTACAAAGGTTGAAGACACACATACACGCAAAGTTAAACCGTAGAAGTTTTTCTTGATGACAAATAAACATTTCAAAAGCCAAATGACCTCACTGTGGCTTATCTACACAAACCATCTTAGAGGAAGTACGCCGCTGTGTTTTTGTCTGGCCGCCCCTAATTACATGTGGTCCTGTAATGCTGCCCAATATTCCCTCTCAAGAACACACGCACCTTCTGCCTCCACACTTCTTTTTCCCCAAAAAGGGAAGAGAAAGCCTTTTAACACTCACTGGAGGCATTGAGCCGGTCATAAAAGGTGAATAAAGTCAAACAATCGTCACACTTGGGTTCATCCCGTATCGTATGCTCTCTTTCTCTGCAGGTAGGCTAGTTAGTATCTCTCAAGAGACACCTACCCTGAGGGGACTTCCTGCTGTTTATGACACTATTGTCATGACATCATCGCCTTGCCCCAAAGCTTGTGTGTGTGTGTGTGTGTGTGTGTGTGTGTGTGTGTGTGTGTGTGTGTGTGTGTGTGTGTGTGTGTGTGTGTGTGAGAGTGAGGATTGGAAAAAAAACAAATCTTTCCACCACCACGCACGTTTGAATAAACACAACGAATGAGCGACGGTGTAGATTATCTTAGAAAACATCGGTCTTAAAACTGTTCTCCGTATTTTTTGGAAAACAAGTTGATGCACATAAAACTTTTTCTTATTTAAATGGCAGATAACTTCCTCCTTTCTTTATTAAAATATACCTTTTTAAGTGAGATTTCTTCAGGGACATTTTTAACAACTTCTCCGGCATCCACCTGGCCCGGGTATAGTTAAAGGATGGCCAACGAGCTCGAGGGCTGGAGGGGGGGACAATGTGCCAAAGTCAGTTGGAGAGGCGGGCCGTCCCTCGAGGAAGTCACACAGCAGCCAAGTATTGAGGCAGACGCACTCGCTCTTACCCACAAACAGGAGGTTGCTTTTTTTTGTTTTCTCCCTTTGATTAACTGACAACCCCTGCGACCGACCGGTGAAAGAAAAACACAAAGGTTACCCAATCAACTTCAGGAATGTGTTGGCAAACATGAGGCAGGCCGCTGGGAGGAAGGAGGGGGTGATGACAGTAGAGACACGAGACAGAAGCAACGGCCATTCGTCGCTCGTTTAATACACAAGGTGCATTGATGACAAACAACACATATCATAATCTGTCCAACACAATAAGGTGAATAAAAAATATTATTTTGTATACCCCCAAAAATTCCCGCAAGGTCAATTCTCACACCACTCATAATAATAACGATTCAATTTCTAAGGTAAGTATGTCGATGTTGCACATAAATCAGCCTGAACTTGAGTTAGGAGATGCCTTTTTAGTAGCTGTACAGACATGCTCTGGGTGGCTGGGACAACAAACACACCCAAACACACACACCACGGGCTAAGAATCTGGATGAACAGCAAAAGTGTCTTAATAACTATAATTTGTCCGCTGCCGCAGCGCGTACTCACGTACTCCTTTCTTTGTCTATGCCCTTTTACTCAGTACTTCATCCAAACCCAGACTGTCCCTCACATCCTCACAGTTTTATCATATCTGATGGCCTCCGTGTTTTTGTCTGTGGAGACGGAACGAGGAAGAGGTTGACTTGACAAAGACACAGCAGTGCCAATCGGACAGAAATATAAAACCATTACCTCGTTCTCGCAGGAATGTTTTAAGTCAAAAAGCAGGCCGCGAGAGATGTGCTTTTGATTAACTTGATATTAAGCCTTAGTTTGTGTTTAAAATGACCTGTTAATAAATCTAAGAAGTTACCAACTGTGTTTACGGTTTACATCTGGGTTACAAGATGAGCCAGTAAGCATTCTCCAAAAAACGTGTCCTAAATCAGTGCCACATCTGACCACTTTATAAAGCCTGTGACGAGAGTATTAGCTGCTAACGCATTTATGTTGCGCAAGCTTTTATCCAGGTATTTGTGTAGTAGGAGCTGCAGTTGGCAGGAGCACAGAAATGTGCATCTCACTCCCCATCTCGCTCACAAACGCCCCCACAGAGCCTACTTTTAATGGGAGATATTGATAGCATATAAGTAACAAGTGTTTTTAAAATTCTGAATATTATCTGCGCACTATCAACTGACAAGTGCGCTCAGGGTTCCCACAACTAGAAAAGTTACTTTCACTTTTGCGCTGGTTGTTTGGAAACTGATTTAGCAACTTTCCTCTTGACAGGTGTTGAGCCTGAGGCTGCAGGTTGTTAGCTGCTATCAGGGCAGTTGAGGGCTTCCATTTTCACTTGAAGCTCTGAACCAACTGAAGAAGACCGTAGACCTCTTGGAACCGAGCTTGGGCATAAGGTCATAAAGATAATCTAAACTAAAATTAACTGAACATATTTTGGGTATTTCACAGGTGTCGTCTCATGGAATGAAATGTACCAAGTATCACAAGTTGTAGCCGAGTACAACTGCTAACTATCATCATAGTCATAGTCAGGCCCACATCGGCTCTACTATGGTGCCCCCTTTAGTTCATTAGATGTATAATAATTCAGCTCATGCAACTCGTCACATTTGTGCAGTCCCACGTTAAATTATTCATTAAATGATTCATTCACCTATATTAGCCCATGATAAGTCCACATGCAAACACTATGCCCTGCAGCCTGTGGATATTGATATACAAAAAGGCGAAGGGGCTCTACATATAGTGAGAGAGTGATATGTGAAGAAGATCTCTGGGGTCTCTAATTTGCAGATTAATGCTTCCACTAACAGCCTCAGTGCCGTCAAAGCTAATATCAGTAAAACACCATTCCCCGACCAATTATGGGAAGTCCTAAAATCACATCCTAAATCAAACACCCCAAGACACACAAGTCAAATTAATTCATTCTCAACCAGACGTCTAGATAGTTACGTCAACACATGACTCAACCAGGCTCATCTGATTATTGATTACCTATTATTATCTGATAAGAGCTATTCTATTAGCGAAATTGTGGAAATGAGTTTGACAATAAAATAAAGCCCCTATCGCTTCTCCAAAAGCACCCGAGACAAAGCCAGAAAGGGAGTGTGGTGCCGAGGAATGCCAGTGTGCACCGACGTCTCTGTTTATGCGTGGACCGGGTTATGCAAGCCAGTGGGAGTGAGGTGCCGGCAGGTGTCTATGGGAACCAAAGAGAGTTCATCATCTGAGACCATGCTTCAGTGGCCAGCGAGGGTGGACTAACACAGTTTCTGTTCGGTTTCTTGCTCGTAGTTCACAGGGTTTACAACCGTGGACAACAGAAGACTGTCACTGCTGCAACCGCACTGTACCATCATGATTTAACTTCCAAAACAGGGTGTCATATCAAATATGACATTTGAGTATGGAAATGAATATAGTGATTTGTGTCAACGTGGTCAAGTAAGAATCTGAAAGAGGAAAGAATCCATCGGTAAATCTAATATTTTTTCAATCATTTTCCTAACTATTTGTTTTATATGAATATTGTGATTAGAAAAGATGACTACATCTAAGTCAATGGAGAATCCTCACATTCTCTGAAAGCCTTTATGTGGCTCCCTTGAATTCTTGCTTCACTGCTTAAAACAACCAGAGACAACTTCACGATAACACATCAAGGGAGTACGTCAACTGGAAGATGGGGGCAAAAAATAGAGAACCCCATATGGGAGTGAGGGGAAGCGCGGTGACACATGCTCTATGTGTGTGTGTGTGTGTGTGTGTGTGTGTGTGTGTGTCACTCAGTCCAGACACAGAACAATGGAGCAAACTGGGTCGCCTTAACTGACCAGCAGTGCCAAACAGCTGGGGAGATGGAGAGGGAGATGACTGGGCTAGGAAGGGAGGGAGGGGGTGAATAATGAAGGAATAATTGACTTAAAATGGGGGCATGAATAGACGAAAATGGGGAGGAAAATTAAGCAAAGGAAAGAGGTGTGATAAACCATGATAATTAACTTCACTGGAAAGTCAGTGGTGTATATCTTTCCAGAGCGGCACAATATCAACCCAATAAAAAAAATATATATATATGCAATTCATTTTTTTAAATAAATATATATATATATATATATTTATTTATTTTTTCAATATACGTGCAATACCAAGGAATTAAACAGCTCGGAATAGAGCTGTATAGAGGAGTGCACGTGAATAATACATGACGTAAAATGATGTAAATATTCACTGAAGCCTCTCCGTTAATTCAAAAAACTAGCTTTTCATTTCCACAATGAGGAGGGGGAGGAGGGGGAGAATAATGCATTGACACACCACGAGATGTCGTGTACCGTGTTTACTAAAGCCCACGGTGCGTGTGCGTTAGCCACCCCCGGCAATGGTGACACCGGCTGGGTCGTAGGCTAACGTCATAAGTCAGCACGGTGGCGCATGTTAGCAATATCTCACACAAACCGTCGCACACCAAGTGTGTCTTTTACAACCGCCGCCTCGGACCAACACGAAGACTGTAGCCCGGCTCGTCCGCCCCACGAAGCGACGCGGCTTTGTTCGCCGTGTGAGTCCTACCAAGGAAACGCGGAGGGTGTTTAATTATAGGTTGCTCACGTTTAATTGCGCGTAAAGTGCCTGTCGAACACCATCACCAGCGACGCCTGTAGTTAGCTAACTCGGTACCGTTAGCCTACGAGCTAGTTCGACCCCCGTGGTAGTTAACGTTGTATCGATGTTTATGCGAGACGTTGCTCGGTTTGCCTTTGTAGTCAAAACAGCACCATTAAAACAGCACCGGACACGGCTTTAAAACGACATTAAACTCAACTGTACCTTGTCTGCGTCGACTGTGGCAACTACGGCACCATATCTTGGCACTGGTTCTTTGTTTATGAGATGTAGTGGCCTGTTTTCATCAATCCGTTTCGTCTCTCCTCCGGTAGTCGTGCTGCCCCGACTGACAGCACTACTGCTGAGGATGACAGGGCCCCGCCCTTAGCAACCAATTGGATGGCGAGGATCTCGAGGCGCAGGCTGTGCACGTTTCCTATTGGCTGTTGGCGGTGTCCATCGACGTGTCGCTAAGGATGCAACAAGGTCCAAGGGTAGAACACCTGCCAAGGCGGGATGCTGAGCACCGCAGGTGCAGTCAAATGAAGTGATGAAGGGGCTGTAGAAAAAGAAAAAGACACGAGAACAGACGCGTTTCCCACAGGCTGCTACACATGCAGAGCAAGAGACGAAATGGACTGCTTCCCTTTGACGATAGAGTGAAATCAACATGTTCTTCATAGAGTAAGTATCCTTCTTGGTGTTATCGTGTGGGGGTTTTCTATACCACCCATGTTTCAAAATTATTCAAATGTATCAAATCAATTAGTTAACAGAAGGTTGCTGAAAAAAATCTGTGCATTAGGAATATGTCGTATTGCATACGTGCTCATTCTCAACCAACTATATGATAAAGTTTTGATCATGGTCATGGGAAATGCAGTTTTGAGTCATAATACAATGTAAAATGAAAGAAACTGATTTCTGTCCTCAATGGTAAATGTTACATTCAGTTTGGAGTATGAAATCTCTACCATTTTTAAGAAGAACGGGGAAGTGGGTCAGTGCTTCATCTCTCTATTGGGTGCAGGTACTTATAATTTTAGAACAGAATTGTTCGCTTAGCATGAGCATTGCGTGTTTTTGTTTGTGCGTGAGTGTGTGTGTGTCTGTGTGTGTGAGGGAGTGAGTGAGCAAGTGTGTGTGCATACTGGTGTCTTCTTTGTCAGCTTGTTCCATTTTTTTTAGGGGGTAAATGTTTTAAGGTACTTGAGGTTTGGTCTCTTTTTTTCTTTTATTAACACAGTCGAAGGGCGATATCTGTGTGGATGCAAATTAACATAAAATCACCAACAAACCTCTAACAAACACGTTACATAACAAACACCAACAAGACAGACTCCAGATGTTGTACAACAAATATAAACCTGCACAGAAACAATAGTCCTTATTTCATGAGAGTAATTTTCACTCCTTGGCATACTGCTTTAGAAATCAGCACACCTATATAACGTCCTGGTTGTCTTTTACCATTATCTGGTTCTTGATTGTCCTTGAATCAAACTGTAAAAAGGCAGCAAAAACAAAAGTATATTATACAGTTTATCAGTATAAAAAGTATACATAGAGACATAAAACGTAATTCCAGCTGATGTCGCCCAGTGACAAAAGATCCGAACCGAACAAAGTCCTGATGTACGGATTAGTGAATTGCGCAGCATGCTGTAACCGACCATTTTAATCCAGTTCAGGTCAGTCATGCAATCAGGAGGTCTAAAAGTATGACTTAATGGTAGCAAGATGCTGCAGCACATTGGATGTGATTTAGAATTAGCACAAAGCACATAGTGTACCGCATATCTTTTGTTATGTGTCTTTGTATTTTGTGATGGACCCCCCCCCCCCCCCACCCCCTCCCCTTGTGGGGGCCCCCTAATTCAGTTTCCATTGAAAAGAACCTTCAGAAGGGTTGAGAAAAACGTCGAGTAAACAAGTCGCGGGGAAAAAACCCATTTCCCTCCTTAGTCCTTACATTTAAAAAATGATACTGGCCGAGATGGGGATTTTGGGAGAACAGAAGTTGCTTCTTACACCGAACTGCCGCCGCACACCCACCGATTTTTCGATTGCAATCTCACTCGCTCGCCCTTTTTCCGAGAAACACATCGGGGCCTAAGAACAAGAAATTAAAACCTCGGCTTAAATTCACTGAAACAAAGGGCTAAAAACACATTTTTGAACCATCTCAAACATCCAGTTTTAACACTCACCGGGAAAGCATTAAATGTAAGCTGGAAATATTTGGAAATTTGAAAGCGTTTTATTAGTAAAATGAATACTAGTGTTTAATATGATCATTCAAAAGTGCTATTTGTCTTTTAATTTGTAGATTTTTGTATGAATAAATATAATTTGTGGGATTTATTTAACATTTTTTCATGCAGCACTGTAAAATCAGGCAATAAAGGTGCAATAGATTTCAACAGAAAGTTAAAAAAGATAGACAGAGAAGAAGCAGAAAATGTCATGGAATATTTTAATCGCATAACCTTACAATACCTTCGATTGTTCAACCAACTCTAATCTTAACCTGCTACATTTCAACTGGCAGATGAAAGAAAAAAGATGCCCGCTGAACTACATCATCATTATGTGACCATTAATTAATGTTTTATTTGTATTTTGACAATAGTATAATTCCATAAACCATGTGTGAGTTTATGAAATCCCAGACTTTTGCCTCTTGTTTTTAGTTTAGACTGAAACCATTTGTCCTTGAAGATATTCCTCAGTTAAAAGAAGTATTTCTCAGTGATTCAGTGAACTTTGACCCATAATTCACTTTGTAGAAAATATTGTCTCTGAGATGAGGGAGATATTTGGCTGTGCCTCTCTCTCGCTCTCCCCCTCTCTCGTTTTCTCTCTCTCAAAAGTCCGTTGTGATGCTCCTCGGGGTGGAAATGTACAGTATCTGCTAGTGTTCATCAGCTTCTTTGTTATTCCTATCTTCACTGAACCCCAAAGGGCTGTCCCCGTCCGTATATATCTTCTTCTTCTTTTTCTATTTTTTTTTTTTTTTTTTACAAATATGGACCACGCCAGAGCCTGTGATTGATAATCTTGTTCTACTGGAAAGTCAGCTTGATTGAAGCAGTGCAACTTCCCCGTAGCAGCGTGAAGTCAGAACCGGCAAGAGGCCCGTTGACAGGCAGGTTTACAAAGCGCCAGGAAAGGTCCCGGCCTCGGTTCAGGCGTAGCGGGGATCTGCGCCGGCGTGTGCTGACTTCTGGACGTAGGCTGGTGGCTGGTAACAGGGAGGACGTGGCGTCTCCATGAAGATCGTGGAGGAGGTGAGGCTTTTGCGGTCTTTTTTCAGAATGTGTCTCCTCTGCCAACGACAGAGTAAGACTTCCACCTGCTCTCTGAAGAAGCTGGTGGTCAAGGTGTAAAGGATGGGGTTCAAAGCGCTGTTGATGGGTAGGATGAAGACGACCATCCAGCTAGAGATGGTGCCTAAAGGAAAACAGGAGCAGAGCCGTCCGCACGTTTAATCAGTGAGTGGGATGTTTCTTATTACGCTATTCAGTAAGTAAAGGGTAGGCAGCAGATCACTGGTGTGTGGCAGCTGTCAATGCAAACACAGAATCATTTCATACCCGGTATCTCCACATCCAATAGTGAGAGGGTCTTCACCAAAAATATGGGAATCCAGCAGAGGGCATCAGAGAACACTATGAAGAAGAATCTGTTGGCAACAGCCACATCTCTGTGCAGTCTGCTCCTCAGATCTGTGGCATTGATACCAGTTTTATAGATGGAGTAGAACATGCTGGAGTAGGAGACGGCAATAACCAGGAATGCCACCAGGTTTAGACCTAAAGAAATGCAGATAAATCACACATAAACACAGGGGGGGAAGTTCAGTAAAAGTACCAATAATATCGTTCAAAAAAATATATACTTTAGGACATATTCAGCAGAAAAACTGATATATTATAGTAAATGATACTATCAAATTATTATTTCTGATGCTTTGATGATTGAGCAACATTTTAAAGTGGTCGCTGGTTGAAATCAAGACTGTTTCTCGATGCCAGACGGTTTAGTCCTACGGTTCCCAACACGAGGGTTGAGTCTTCTGCTGCTTCAGTGGTTGTGAGATTATTAATGTTTACAGGAAAAAGAAACATTTGCTTCACATATTTATATTGTTTTTGGGACATTTTTCTAATCTTAGCGATTAGCGGATAATTGTACCTCTTTGGGGTTGAAGCAGTATAAATGAAACCATCTGACATATTGCCTGAATGTATTAAGAGAACCGGCCACAGTGTCGGAGGCAGCTCCGTGTTCATGCCTGCTGCTCATTGCAGCATAAAGGGGAAAAAAAATCCTTGCTTCGGCCATTAGGTGATTTTGCAATTTGTAAAATAATTCATGTGATCTAATGCTTTCTTCAACTGAACTGAAACTGTTAGGATGAAAAAATAAAGCAGAATAGCAAAATAAATCACATTCAACTATACATCCTCACAAAATAATATAACGATAAGAATATAGAAGGTTTTATTTTTGATGTCTCCATGATTAGCAGAAATATCGCTCATTGCATTTAAAGCTCACTATTTTATATCCCAGTGTTTTTATTTTTCACGTTGGGGGAAAAGAATGTTTCATTAGTTTCATTTGTTGGTCACAAACACACAAAAAAAGCTGTGGCCAAGTTTTGAATTCATTGTTAAAGTCAGCATTCAACGGGTGATGACTTTACGTGAGAACATGACATATCTTTTTTTCAATTTACCCAGAAAAATCCCAGTTGAATATCCTTTGGCGGTAGGTTTTTCTTGCCTGTCAGAGTGCAGGGGAAAGCAGACCCCATTACGTCCATAGTAGTTTCCAAACAAATCCTCATTCATCAGTGGCACCGCAGCTATAATGAACCCCAGTAGCCAGATGGACGCCAGAACCACCTTGCAGCAGGAGGACAAACATGCCGTTAGGATTTCTAACAGAGTGTACTTCAAAGCCCACAGTTAAAAAAGGATTTGAGCAAATTTCAATCAGACTTACATCAAGGATGAAAGAACATTACTAGCAAATGGTTTTACAGTCACATTCGGCGAGAAGGAGCGTGGTGGTGGAGCTGTGCAGCCCTAGCCCGATTATATCAGCAGAGTAATGGCGTTTGAATGGAGCCGCGGCGCTTGTAGTCAGCCACACAGTTGTCAGTGATGCTGAGAGGCATCAGTGATCTTTATATATAACATGTAGACATATACATATCTATATATACATACATATATATACACATCTATATATATATTATATATATTATATATTATTATTGTTATATATATATATACACATACATATACATGTATACATATACACGTCTACATATGGTTTTATATACATGAATATAAATATTTCCATTACATTTTCAACACAGCATTTTTAGTTGAGTTGAACTTCCGTGAAGTTAGAAGCACTCGCTTCGGCTCTGAAGGTTAAAAGCATATTTCTGTGGCCTAGTTGTAATTATTGTAGGGTCATTTATACTGAGCTTTGCAGTCTAAAATAACAAAGAGAGTGTACTGACACGCGTTGAGCAGCTCTACTCGGCTGCTATTGATTTGCTCTACAGTGTAATTATATACATGTACACAATTTTAGTTTCATTCTAAACGTAGCGACAGCAAAGGCAAAGGAGGGTTTTACACAAGGTGCACTGAGCACTAGGCAGAATAACAATAATAATTATTATTATTATTATATTTTCTATAGCAATTTTCAATCGCACTGGGCTTCCCACAGCCGATCATTACCAACGTACAAAATCAAGAAATAAAACAGAAAAACGAAAAGACCGTATAAAACACATTAGAAGATTAATCATCCCAAAGCATAAAAGGTGGGGACTGTAAAACTAATACAATAAAATATCAAGTTGTTTCACAACAGAGCTATGTTTAAGAATAAATAAAATGAATAGCTCACCATAACACCTCGTTCTCTTCAAAAAGAAGCTAATACAAGATGGTTGAATGAGGATTTTACAGACACCACTGTAAAACAACTGTCGGTCTTAAGCTGTCCTTATTTTAGTATCAGGATGATAAAGCCGCTCACCACAGTTTGGAGTTTGCTCGGGCGCAGGTTGCTGAAGGGGAAAACGATGACCAGGAACTTCTCCAGAGTCAGGTAGGTCAGGAGGAGGACAGACACCTGGGGGAGGAGTAATTGTTTGTTTAATGCTCCTCTTTTTTAATCCTCCCCCATTTCATTTAGCGATTATGTGTAGTTTTGCATAATATATAGTCAACGTGGGCGGCAACATGCGAAACCACTGGTACGGTTCATAAATCCCTGCCCAGAATCCCGCTTTGACAGTGAGGTATTCCACTGTTTTTTGTTCACAGATATCCTCAACACTCTGCACAACATCAAAGGTAATTTAGGGATGCGCCGATCTAATCGGATATCAACATCACGAGAATAATTCATAAAAGCCTTGGGGAATTTTCCAATCATAATCATGTTCGCAGTCAGTGTGTTTTTACCAAAGCACAATGTGTGTCCTTAAATTCCTTCCACAGAAAACATTTGCAATGATCCACATTTCGAGCGTTGGTTTCACGTTTATTAGGCCTTGAATTAAGGCAAAAAAGCAAACATGGACTGAAAAGCATCTCTGAAGCAAACGTTTTGTGACAAAGTATTCAAGGATACGTTGATGTTCCCTCCTTGTGTAGGCACAAAACAGGGAACAGCTAATACAAATATAGATTGATAGCTCTATGCGGATGCCTTTCAGACATCGGTTTCTACGTAGTAGTCATTATGAATGCCAGCAGTTTGAACTCTTGACAATGCCTCAAGATTTCAGCATTAAAAAATACTGGAGAAATTCAGCATGTATAGACTCTGAAAAACTATAGTCAGAGTCCACAAAATGCTGAAGCAGCAACAGTAGTGGCTGATATGGGATCAGTCAAAAGACGGCATCAGCAGAATAAAAGTAAGTAAGCTCAATCAACAGCTTGTAAATAATATGGATGCTGTATACGTATATATTTATTCTTTAACAGTGAATATCTGTCACACGCAGTGTTGAATCCACCAAGACTTGACCCAGCGTTTATCGACACAGTTTTCAGCCAAAGTTGCAGCCTACAAAAAGAGGTCTTGAGATCAAGTACCTAAACATCACACATTCACCTGCAAGCATCAGACTAGTGTGTGTGTGTGTGTGTCCGTAGCAAGTCACCTCTGAGGAGAGCATGGCGAGGAATCCAATGGTCCGACACTCAATGCTTTCCATCCAGAGCAGCGCGTTGCGATTGTACTGCCCGCGGAATTTGATATCAAACACACCGACGAAGAATAGGTACACGCCCATGAGGCAGTCTGCGCCTGAACGAGGAGGAAGTGATGACAAAACACCAGTGCGTTAACGGAGAGAGAGAGGCGCCTTGCGGGGGGATTGTTAGAGGGCAACATCTGTCTGCTGCCGACACTGCAGACCCGGCGCCTCTCGATGAAAGACACAGCAACGCTTCGTCTACCCTCCGGGGCAGGCGAGAGTAATCACTCACTTACGGGGTGAGTTAGCGGGTTCAATACAACCTCTTTTTATAGACAACATGTGGATAAAAAGAAAAGAAAAGACACGTCAAGTGTTTTTTCCTCACTGAAAGCAATGCTGTATCTTGAATGACGGAGAGCACCTGTTTTACAAAGTAAAGCCTGGGGGATGAACAAAATGCAGAGGGAAGAGAAGCAGCGATGGGGGGGAGGGGGGGGGGGGTTATGCAAGTGAAACTGACTGAGAATACCGAACAGAGGCAAGTGAGAGAGGAAACAAATGGTGCTCAACAGAAGAGAGCGGTAAGGTCGATTAAAAGGCAGCGTGCAGACATTTCAGAGAAGCTCTTTCATAAGCCCTCCCATCTTTTTTAAATAATTGAAGTCTTTTGAAGTGGATGTTATTGATTTATAGAGCAAACCCTGCCGGGTATTTTGAAAGGAATCTTAATACCACCTCGAAGCCTTATTTAAGTTCACTATGACAATAAAAATAATAATATGATTTGACTCCAAAACTTCTTCCAAAGAACAGTTTGAGGATTCCCTTTTATATATCTGCCTGTTTAGTTTCATCCCCACAATTTTTAAATCAACCGTTTATCCTTTTTAACTCAACTGTTGTTAGATGCGGTTCACCTCCAGCCTGACATGATCGGTCAAATGCCACGTCTGTATTCATGTTTCTGTATTTGCACTGTGTGCGCATAGTGTGTGTGCGTGTACTCACAGCAGAGGACCTTGATGCAGGCGGCATGCAGGTTGTTCTCCGCTCGTATCAGCGACCTCATGCCGATGACGAATAGGTTACCAAAGCAGGTAATGAAGGCCATGACCCAGACAGACACCCGCAGCACCATGTTAGCCAGCAGGTCTTCAAAGGAAGAGATGCCATCTGTGTTGGGCTTGCAGGACCTGACGTGAGGCGCATAGGAGCAGTACTGGAACGTCTCAAAGTAGCTGGAGGAGAGGAGGAGCAATGACAAACGGAAGGTGTTGGTGGAAGAAATGAACGAGAAAGAGTTTGACAAGCAATGTCACGTGGAGGGGGAAGATGGAGAGACATTCCATCGGGTTAGTCGGCGTTGGCAAGGTACTTGTGAGGGTTGAGATACTTGAGTAAGATTGTACACACATGTGGGAGAGGTTCTTCATAGGCAGGAACATCTTTGTCTGGATGTCTGAGATCTCTATCCCCTCCAGCGCCCTACAAACAACACGGCATATCTCAGCACAAAGGGGCTGCAGCCAAAACGTTCCTGTATGTGTGTGTGTGTGTGTGTGTGTGTGTGTGTGTGTGTGTGTGTGTGTGTGTGTGTGTGTGTGTGTGTGTGTGTGTGCGCTCACAGAGACTGAAGATGTGACAGGTGGTTGAAGTGGCTGTGGTGAATCCGGAGAAGGGGATTGTGGGAAATATTTCTGCAACAAGAAACAGATTTTAATAAAGTGAATGCTGCATGGATGCTGTGTCAAATATTATGTAGTGTAAGCCTGGAAATAGCAAACAGCAATGCTTTTGAGAAGAGTTTGTTTCTGTTCGTTTGGACCCGTTTGCTCTCATCTACATTTCATTTATCCAGTTTGGCCACAGGTGATGGACAAGGATTTTTTTTCTTTCTTTCTATAAATATGATGTGATTAATGACTATATGAACGTGCTATTGTTTTTAGGAATGTGGCTTTAGAGACGTTCAAACCACAAACTACATGCGTGCTGCTGGCATAATCATTGTGTCTGCAGACCAAACTGATATTGAACCATTGTCACACAATACGCAACAAACGTCTCCACCATCGATGCATTCATCTGCAAATTCTAAACTCATTTGGTTAAGGGAGGAAAACACAACAGATTCAAAGCAGCATACTATCAATTAATGTGCTTCATGCTAGCCGTCCGGTCACCTACAACTATGCAGCAATTCCACATTACTACATAACGTGCAGGATTCCTTCACTATTAAAAAGTGCTGTGGTGTGTTTACTGCTTGTGGGTCCGATTGTTGTTGCTGTGATTGTTAAAGGTGACCTCTGGCCTTTGGTTACGACAAAAAAATGGTTACAGAATACATGAAATGTGTGTGTGTGTGTGTGTGTGTGAGACTTGTCTCTATCTGCATGTAAGTGTGTTATTCACATATCTTGAGAGCAACTCATCTGATCTTATTCCTTTATGGTCGTGTGTGCTTAGGAATATAAGTAATATAAGAATATAATATAAGTCATGACATTGCGTCTAGATTGTATTTGTGTCAAAAATTGTTATTTTTGCTACTCCTCAAACACATGTTGAGCAATCGTAACTAAATGTTTCAGATAACAGCTCTGGAATGTTCCAATACAGTTAATTAGCCCTAAAATATATCTCCTGAACGCTTTGTGCTATTGCACCACAGCTATTGGGAATAAATCATCAACGGATGAATCCAAGAAAGAAGAAAAGCCACGGAGGAAAATAGTTAGGTTCTTGAATACTTGACATTTTCAAAAAATGTGATGTGTGAAGTTTTCATTTACATTCTCAGCAGCGGTCTATAATTACTTTGACCTTTGAAAGAGACCTCCTTTAGGTTTCTGCTAGATAAGTTGATAAGAAATCAACGCATTAATCAACTTAGCATGCGACCACTTGACTTCTGCTGGGTGTTATTACATCTTGTTGAAAATTCTTCAATAAACAGTAATTGCGAATTTGATGTCTCTCTCTACTACTACTACTACTTGTATATTTTTCTATATGCTGATATATATATATATATTTGAATAATTTCTTAGTGCACACACATAATCTATGTTAGCATGTTTAAGTTACTGTGTCAGTCTTCACTGTAAGGTTGTGATGGTGCACAGCGTAGTGCTTTACAGTGTCATATTGCCTCCAGCTGAATATCAGAGTATTAAAGGATGCCTATAAGCTGGAATTTACACCAGTCAGCCAAAGCCAGTGCGCGTGTGTTCGCTGTGGGAGGTTTTCATTCAGCTTTTAGAAGCCGTATCAGGATGTGTGAACATATTATGCAGCAGGATTAAAAGACACATTCTTAATTTCTACAGCGAATGAACGATATTGGGTTTTGGTGAGCTCCTAAATTCAAGGTCTTAACTTCAAACAATGCAGTGCTAAATAATTTCAGTCCGTTACAAACTGTAGATAAAACCCCAAAGCATTAAGAAAATCCTCTTAATGTGAACACATTTCAGAACCTTCATCTGGACATTTGAATCTTCTGGAGACGTTTGCCTTGTAAGAACGGACTGTGCCGATCAAAGGAGCCGGTTAAGAAAACTTTGAAAACAATGTGTCAAAAACTTTAAACACGAGTTGACAAAAAAAAAAAGACGTGAACTTTGTTTCAATAAACTACAGCCATCTCGTTATCCTCCCTCCTTCCTCCTCCCCTGTGCCACGTTGCAAGTCGGCTCATCTAGATGCTCCCCACGTCGCTCTTTCGTGGCTTATGAAGCAGCAGCTTAAAGCGGCTGCTGGAAGAGCGGCGGCGGCTTGAGAGAAGCGCGTCAGGAAGAGTGAAAAGAACAAGTGCCGGCATGGGGGTTTCCGACGAGCGGCAGGCGACTTTGAGCGCCGGGTGAAGCTGTTTCCATTGGAATGATAAAACATTTGTGAATGTATTCTGCGCATCAGCAGTCATCTATACAATTGTCGCTCAGCTTGAGGATGTAATAACGTTTTGTGTCGTTTCCAAGGTCACGGTTTACCTGCTGGCTCTCTGGTAACACAAACAGTGATTTGTTTCACCCGCACACAACAAATCAAGAAGGTCTCGAGTTAAAAACAATCTATTCACATTCAAATGTTTGTCCAGACAAGCGAAATAACAAAAGGAGACAGCAGATACGATAAGATATTTTGGTCACATTTCTTTCTAAAGTTGCCAAAACACTTCTCAGAGAGCCCATTCATCTACCTTGCTGCTGCTCGTGCTCTTTTGGTCTGTGTTCGCCCTGTTTGGTATTTCTGCTCACACCTTCAAACAGTAATTATTTCAAATGTTTTCATTTCAAGATTTAACATCCCAGCGAGAACATGTCTCTGAGTTTCTTCCTGTGGGAGGCATTAACAGCAAGATATAAACTTGTTCTCTGAATCCAACCAAAGGGTTTTTACGCTTGATATGTGATGACTACCCTCAATAATCTTTAGACAATAACTCACACCTCTCCGCCAAACCAGACATTGGTTACTCACAGTTTAAGGAGGGACTTGGAGAGGCTCTTAAAGGTGTTTTTAGGCAGCTCTCTTATCCTGTTGCTGGACAGATTCCTGGATACAGTCAGAGGTCAGAAAATAAAATGCAAATTACTCGCTCTAAAGCATAATGACACACAAGCAGATGTACTTATATTCATTATTTAATCATTCAGATTTAATATCTACCAGGCATGAGAAACCAAGAGCCTCAAAAAGACATTTCAATTCCAACCAAAACCCAAACAAACCTCTTGCTATCAATATTTAATGTCTCTTGATACAAACGAAATTAATTTTGTTAACAGAACGATAGAGATTCAAACAAATTTTCTGGTACTCACAGTTCAGCCAGTTTCCACAGAGACTGGAACGTGTTTTCTGGAATACTTCTGATCCTGTTGTCCATCAGTAATCTGAAAAAGGCCGAACCTCCGTCAGCAACAATGTGCAGAGTGCGGTTTCTCAAACTCTCTTGTTGTCGTATCCGAACGTTGGGCTCCCAATTGTCACAATGCACCATCCGTTAACAGTGAAGGCTGACTCAAACAGCGCTGCCTGAAAAACTAATAAAAACTGGAGAAACTTTCAGAGCAACACAGACCGATAAATCCATCAATCAATGCCTTGTTGATGGACAGGCCCGATAAGGACGATAATGCACAAACAAGTGTCTGCTTCATGGCCCACTGAAATGTGGGAAAAAAGGCCGCTTAGAAATCTGACTTGAAACACTGCGTATTTCATTCTCATTCTGAGGCACGTTTGTAATTACTTTTACGTTTGAACATGAGACTTGATGTGGTTAGTCCTAAATCCATAGTCCGGAAAAAGCAATCTTCACAAAGGCTTCAAAAATCTGTTTGTATTGTGAGTTTAGCAACTTAAAAACATTGGAGCAGAATTCTAGGCAGCCGTTATGTACGCTTGAAGCAAACTCATTTCTGTAATTTTTGTTGTCTGATCTGTAATTTGGGTCCAAGATGATGCTGCACAGAACGTGCTATTTTCAAGAGATGCGAGCAGACAACTTAACAACTTAACTGATAACATTTGATTAACTTAGATGCGAGCAGACAACTTAACAATTTAACTGATAACATTTGATTAACTTACACGAGTACACAAGTATAAGTATATTATTATCATTATTTAAGCTGCAGCAATCACTGTTGAGAGGTCTGACAATTTTCACTCTTCCACAAATGTTCTGAAATTAGATAAAAACTAAAATGTTGATTAAAAGGTTGATACCACTTTGAGAAATAACTATTGTGCAACCACAAAAAAAGAGCATTCGTGCTTGATCAACACAGTGTGTGAAATCTAAAACACAATTGCTGAATAAATATCTGGTGTAGTTTGCATTTCAGATGAAGCTTCACTCAGAAAACCTTTTCACGTCCGTCAGTCAACAGATGGCACTGCACATAATTTGGAGTTGATGTTTTGGAAAATGTAAAAAGCTCCCTAAATGGAATGGAAACACGCCTTTGACTCGACTCTCCTAAAAGAGATCGTGTTTCAATCATTTTAGACTTTTATTACTTTGAAAAAAGAAAGGTGACGTGGGATACTCACAGAACTTCAAGCTTGCTGCAGGTCTTCAAGATCGAGTAGTTGAGAGTTTGAATCTGGTTTCCCTCAAGATCCCTGATAGCAGAAGACACATGGGAAAGTTAACCCCCCCCCTGTCATCTCTGGGTGTACGTCCGTGTTTACGTATGCACACAAGCACACCCATATCGCTCCGTCTGGTCAATTATTCGCAGCATAGCTATCTAGCGAAACACACACACACACACACACACACACACACACACACACACACACACACACACACACACACAACACAGCAGACTCACAGCCAGTCCAGGGCGGGCATGTGTTGACAGAAGCTCTGGTGTGGAAGCTGCTGCAGTGCAGTGCCCACCATGGATCTGAGGATGCGAGAAAACGTGTGTCATTGCAAACAAGAGATTCAACTCAACTGGATGAACATCTTGCACTGACGTCTACTCTGGGTAACTTCAAAGAATTGCTGAAGCAGCAAAAGCCAATAAATAACCATTGAGGTTTAACCTTTGTTCTGCAAAAAAAAATTAAACCCATCAGTAGGACATAATTAAGCTTTTCTTATCAAACATACTGGTTAAATTACTATTAACTACGGAATCCAAACGTTTTCTGTGCTTTTAATTTTCCTTTCTGATAAGATGCCTGAAACCACGTCAGCGGGCCGCGGACTACGTGAAGCAGCAGCAACTTCACTCGTAGCTCTTTCCGGGTGTCTGAGGTCCTCATTCTATCTCTAAGGGGGCTCAAAAAGTCATTTGGGCTCGATCCATCTCCACAGTCCTCCTACCCCCCCTTCTAAGGTCGTCAGCGGTTCCTCGAAGCCCCCCAAAAGACCTGGACTTTAGCCCACGTGTCCAGACAAGCTGCCCTGCCAGCACTGGGCTGCTGGAGGACCTGCTTTCCCTTTTCCGGGCCTGGTGCTGTGACTCTGTTTTTCCAGATTGCCGTGTTATTGCCGTGTTATCATGGCCAATGCTTCAAGACTTTAAGTCTGTTTGTGGTTATTTAGCCACCAAGTTTTTTCTTTAAACGCTACGAAGCAGGAAAGGATTTACTGGCTGTTCTTAGTTGTGCCCTAGAAATATATCTGACATCACCTCACGTTCCCTACACTGTTCACGGGGACCGTTTCTTTGTTGTTTGGCCGGGCCCTGCTTTCTGTTCCTTGATTCCTTCAAACTCTCTCGCCAGTTCTGCTCCCTTGACACATCCTCCCACTCACTAAGCCAGACTGCTTCCAAATGGCCTTTCTTTTCTCCAGAGTGAAATGACACAGAAGTACTGAGCAACGACAAGAGCATGTTGAACCCTCTAAATTCCCACAAAAAAAGGAAAGGTTGCCGTTGCTTCTGTTCTTTATTATTGTTCTATCCTGCATGAAAGAGAAGATAATAAAATTCCACAACTAATTGCAGCAGCGCAGCGGCAGACCCACAACAATGACATCTGCCCTTCGCATTTTTCTTTGACCCGTATGACATTTTCTGAAGAAGTGGAGGACAGGTGATAAGGTAAAAAAAAAAAGGCTTAGGAAGTAACTCGTTTGACTATTGAACCGCGGCCCTGATGAAATTGCCCTCATCAGCCGTGTCGTTTAAAAACCGGCCCTTTTTTCCACACAAACCTCTCTACTGCGTTGAGGTGGTGATTTATTGGAATTCCCCATGTAATCACGGCGTTTCACGGTTTGTGAGCACAAACTATCAATCTCTGTTAAAGTTGGCAGCCAATCAGCAAACCATTTAATTCAAAAAGTTTTTAAAAAACTAAACAAACGTGAACCGCTATGCGGGGGTGAGATCTCAACAGTTAAAGTCAGTTTTCGGGTTAAAAGCAGATAATTCGGATGGCAACACTTCAGACGGATGTAGCAGAGACAAGGGACAAGGGACAACGGACACCACAGCTGATTGGAGTAACCAAACGAGGGACATATGGTCACTTCTGACTGGGAGGAACAAGTGCTCTTTGAAGAGGCAGACACAGAGCGTTCACCAAAGGCCTTTTATCTTTCAACCAAAGACATGAAAGGGGATTTATTGAAATGAATAACTGCTGTGGCCAGAAAGCAAACAGAGAAGGATGGAGTCAAGTGCAAAGATGAACTGAGGAAAGACAGGTGTGAAGCAGAGAACAACATCCATGGGTTGGTAACAATAATACAGACTCTCTTGCCGGTCCTGCTCACTTGCACATCTGGGCCGACCTAGTCTACAGGGCATGTTGGGAGCAGGTTGAATTCTCTGAATGCTGAAGACAGCTGTGACAGCTGTGCCTCATTTCCTCCAGCACTGGACCAGGCTCGATGAATGTAGAGGAGTTTTTCTTGCCATGTGCATCTTGTCTGTTTCCCGGTGTCTGTTATCTGTAACTTGGCTGCTGAATATAAGCGCCGCACTCCTGTTTGAACATCTGTCTTTTGACTTTGGATTTCATTGTTATGCTCCTCGCTGAATGTGTTTGCCCGTTGGACCCGTCTTCCCGGTGCTGTAACAATACAACTCTGGAATGAAAATGTCAGTCCGCTTTTGGGTCCTATCCTTGTTACCTCGCACACATCAGCAGTGGAAACTCCTGAAATGAATCCCATTAAATTGGCACAAACCCTTTAAAGCCTTTTTTAGGACTCCATTGACTCCCTTGTTTCTTGACCATCTTTAAGAAGTCAGTCATGACTGACCATGAAATGGGGTGTATTATCGTAACAAAGCAGACGTTTGACAAGCTTTGAAGCTTTGAGCCTCCTCGGGATGGAAAATGAGACCAGCGTGATGGCCGACATCCTTTAATAGTCTTGGATCTTCGTGGGCTGATGATTTACCATATGGAAAATATTCTCAAAGAGTAGGCGTTGCTTTTGTATATACTGTGCATACAACTCATATCCAATGCATTTTATATCTCAGACTCTGCATGTTTGTCTCATCTCAAATGTTGGAATCCCTTTGAGTCTAGAAATCTGTCAGATTTTTGGAGAGAAAACCTTGAACTTACAGGTACATGAGCGACTGGAGCCCGATGAAAGCGTCCTGCGACAGGTTGCTTAACGGGTTATGATCCAAAATCCTGGCACAAAGAAACATTGTTATGTGAGCATGAGAGCATCAACATGACCGCTTATGATCCCAAAGGGTCCAAACATCTTACAGTATTACAATCATTTTGAAAATGAGACACAAAAATACAACACGTGTGCACACATGCACGAACATGCGATAAAAGCGCACGCGGCTTTAAAAACGAGAAGACGCTGGGATGACTGCAGACACGGAGGGAGAGTGACATCCTTCTCTAATTGAGTAGACATTACCGCCCTGTTTCTTCTTACATTAAATAGTTCCTGGAGGCTTTATTATTGTTCAGAATGTTAAATAGAGCTAGCGACACGACACCAGTGGGGAACAGGAATTTGTTTTTGCTTCATCGAGATTGAAATGACTTTTTCCCAGGGAAGAGGAGACATAAATGTAGAACTCCGATGGGTGGAAAAAAAGAAACTCCTCTCCCAGCTCCCAAAAATAATTGCAGCTCTCCCAGGGATGTGTTTTTTTCAGGATCCTAAACCAGTAGACAAAATCTGAAAAGAAATTCCAGATGCCTAAAAGGATGCTGATGCGTGGTAATATTTAGATTTTAATAAAATCCGCCGTGTGAGTTCCCCATTCAACTACCATGTAATTGAATGTACTCTATAGTACCAACTAAATTAATATAAATCCACAGCGAAGTACACAACTCAGTAACTCAGTAAAGCTGAGGTGCATGTGTGTGTGTGTGTGTGAGTGTTTGTGTGCGTGTTACTCACAGCCAGACTAACTGATGAAGATTCTTGAAGACACCAGGACTGAGGGAAGATATCAAGTTCTCACTGAGAAACCTGAAAAACGCAGTGAGAAGCAGAGAAAGAGGTGGTGATCATCTGTAATGTAGTTACTCTCTGACTACCAGCTCCATATATTTTTTTATCCCAGATTTGCTGCCATTTCCAACACTACATATTACAACATAAAACCTGTAAAACCTCCTCAACAGCTCTGTTTTCTCAGCTTTGGTATCTCTGGCTTCCCCCTAAAATGGACTTTCTTTGGTGTGTGTGCGGCCTCGTGTTTCCGGAGTCAAAGCCTCAGTAGAAGAACCCAAGAATCCAAAGTGTTCAAAAGAGTTTAAATCTAGTCAGAGTTCAGGGTTTCATACATATTTCACTTTTTATGCATTCTGTGAAGGGTTAATAGAGTACATAAATACAAAAAAAGTAATTGTTTCCTGCCCATTAGTTCTTCATTTGACATCTGATATAAGAGATGCACTCATCAAACAAACATGTAACCGTAAGGAAAATAATGCAATCTGAAAGGATAATAAAATCCATGAAGACATTTCCGGAGAGATTAAAGTCATTGATCTAGCAGGGAACTTACAACTTCTTTAAACTGTGCAGGCCGCTGAAAGCATGTTTGGATATGAACTGTAGGCTGTTGTTCTGCAGAAACCTGGGAACGGAGACAAGAAATAATCAGAAATGCTCCTCTTCTGACTGTTGATCCCTCTCATGCATGTAAACGGCGTACACACAGAAAAAGCAGCTTATTCTGCACACAGTCACGGACGGCAGTCAACGACAGGGAAGAATCGTTTGCTAAAATGAAAATTATGTTCTTTAACAACCCACTAACAAGAAAGTAATTACGGACCTTTGTTAAAGTTTACAAAAGGTGGAGCTGAACTTTTAAGAAAGTGAGTGAATTAGTTTGTGAAGGTGTGTGTTCCCCACCGAATAGATTCAGCAGAACAGACCATTTTTGATGAAAACTATAATTGCAAGTCATTATTGATTTTGGTATAACATGCAGGAGAGGGGAACACAACCATGGTTCATCATTTGTCTCTTAATGTCTGTCTTAATGAGACAATTAAATGACATAATATCTTGATTGATCGTTATGCATTTCTCTTCTTATGGATCTTGACACACAACAATGCCAGTTTGCAGGTGCACTACAATACAATACATGGTAAACGAAATCTGATTGTATTCAGCTCTTTTATCACTATTTTAGCACCACCTGACTTTAGTTCTTCACCAAAAGTAAGTTCCTTAAACTGATGCAGCATACTGTTAGAACTTTGTATAAGCCTCTTATTAGACCAAGATATAATCGTTTGTAGTGGGAAGTCACAGTGTATCATTTCAGCGGCGTAAAGTTGTGTCGGTTAAAATGTTCAGCAGAAAGATTTGCACCCAAGTCCATAAACCGGATAATATCTGGCATGAAAGCAGGATGAGACGACAGCGAGAATGAAGCAATTTATTTCTGTTCTGTTAATTTGTCAAAGGATTTAAATCAACTTAATTTCTGAGTCTTTGGTTTGTAATTCTGGTGATAAACTATTCCAATAAATGTCCTTATGTCATTTGTATGGGGCTAGTTTTACAGTTGGCCAGCGCTTACCTTACGGTGATTTATGAGGCCCATTGTCATGTGTTTTCCAGAGAAACATTATACAACTCACGCAAGTATAAATGCTAACAGAGATGATTCCGAGATTAAAAAAAAGCAAACTGCAGAAGCAAAGAGGCCTCTGCGGCTCTCATGCATCTGTCATCACACTCACAATGTGCTTAATGGAGGGTAATTTTTTAATAACTATTGAGCAACCAGTATATAAAATGTAGTGACGCCAGAGAGATGTAAATTACCTTCTGCTGGCCTCATTATCAGCAAAAAGCCTTACATTTTTTACTTGGACTTTGTCTCAGATAATATTATCAATGCAGTATGATGTCATTGATTTACTACAGTGACATTGAGTTTTTCCAGTTCAGCCTGCAGAGACGTCAACTTACTTCTACAACACACTATAACACACAGAAACTATTTTCGTGTGAAAGAGTGTAACTGTGGCGCAAGGAGGTCATTAACGTGTAGAAAGCATTAATACTGCCAACTAGTCAGAGTCACAGAATCACTGATTGAAAACTGAAAATGTGAATAATAATTTTCACATTTTAGAAAAAGACAATCAAAATGTGGCAGCATATCATAGATCTCTATGTATAGAGATCTATGATATGATATCTCTATGTATAGAGATCTATGATATGCTGTATCTTTCCTTGAATAAAAGGAATTTATGATGATTGGTACATTGTGATTCAATAAATACATTTTAATTAGTTTTTAAGTAGCATCGATGTTGTGATAATATACCCTATGAAGGTTGTGCAGTATGTAAAAGTATTTAAAATGTTTTACTTTATCTAGATATTTTAAGCCCACGTTTCGTTGTAATATTTCCTAAATAGTTTTGCTCTTTGTTGTTGCTCCTAAGACATTCGGAGCATTAATCCAAAAGGTTTGAGCTTCCACACTGAAGGCAAAATACATAAAATAATGATGAAATCAACAAACAGTTCCCATCGTGTGAATGTAGAAAGCGGCACAAAAATGACTCACAGTTTCTCGAGGTAAGAATACTCGGAGAAAACGCAGTCCGACAACACTCGGATCTCGTTGCTCCTCAGCGACCTGGAACAGAAGCCGTGACACAGTCAGGGAAACAGAGCGACGTTTCACACAGGCGGAGTGCAAATGCACTCCGACTAAGGAAAGCAGGTTGAGAGAGGACAAAGCGTCTGAAGAATTATGAGTTGGGGAACAGTCACACAAAAACATCACTGCTGCCATTTTATTTAGAGAGGGGCTTTTAAAGGGCTCACATCACGTTCCGATATAATAAAAGCACAGAGGAAAGACTTCAAAAGGTTCCCTGTTATGTAGCTTCAACAGGTTGGTAAAAGGACGGGCAGATAAAAATTGCAGAGCATGGATTAATTTAGAATCCACCCACTCACCTACACACACACACACACACACACACACACACACACACACACACACACACACACATTAGAATTCAAGCAAACAAGAATTCAAGTTTTACTGAGATGCCTGATAAACTTGTTTTTGTTTTTGAACAGAGCGGTTCACACCATTACTAGCAAAACAGCTTATTTAAACAAAAACATATATAGGCCTTAATTATACAGTCAATCATACAGACACCCACACTCCAAGAATCAATAAAACACATTACCAATAAAACCCAAATCGCCCTTCATTAGCATAATAGAGAAAAGGGCAACACAACCGAGAAACTCGTTCAATGACAATGCAACAGGTCATCAGGACCTAAGGTTAAAATCGAACATTTTCTTCAGAGCCCAAAATGTGAGGCTTGATAACCCAAAGTGATGCTCCGGCTGAGAAAGTAATGAAATGTAATATTCGAAGATAATGCTCGAGTGTGAACCAGATTTTGAAATAAGCAGGAAAGATGCCGAAGGCAGAGAGGATAGAATAAGCAGGAAATGGGGAAACCACCTTTGAGATATACAAATTAGAATGGTTTCTATATTTTCAAAGGTCATGATCATCATCTCTTCATCTTCTGCCGTCGGGTGGTGAAATAGACTTATTTCAGCTGACACGGTGATGCAATGGCCATTATCCACAGCCATTAAAAGCTTAGATATTTTTAAAACAAATAACTTCTTTGGAGGTTGTGGCAGTCGGTTGGTTACGTGTTTTATTTGCACGTGGAGAGCGTCTTTAAATTAAAAAAAAGGCTAGGACCTGATAATCCCTTTGCATTTTACTATAGATATAAACTACATACATTAAAGCAGGTTTTGTGGAGCTGAGAGAAAGAAATTGTGTCTAAGTGAACAATAAAAACCGTATATTTGGGCATTCCAGCAATATAAACATGCATTGTTTGGTAAATCTAACTGAATTGTGGAAATGGATGCAGAAGGGCCCGAGATAACCTGACTTCTAAAATTGATCTTCTCTAAGCCGAAGCGTTGCTGTCAGAGCAGACAAAGCCTCTCTGGAGCCACGAGGCGGCTAAACCGTATTTAAAAATCTGTATTGTGATGGAAAAACTTTACAAAGTGATTCACGTTTCACAGCTACAGAGAACAAACGACAGTTAGACTGAAAGAAAATTGCCGCCGCCGAAGAAAAAGCTGAGTAACAGAAGAAATCCACAAGATCAGGCATCAAAACAAACGGATGTAAGATGTAAAGTGAACAGGAGGTAAAGAGAAGCAATGTGCGTTCCCCGCGTGAGAAAGTGACTGCAGATAAGAGCGCAACTACAAGACACACATCGAACGTCTATGCAAATCTAATCTTGCCACTGTGTGTGCAATTATGCAAAAGGACCTTTTGTGTTTAGGTGTCACATAATCTTAAACTGTGCTCCGGGATGCTTAGTCACAGTTGAAATTAAAATCACAACCCAAGCCAGGTCACAAAGTGCCTGAAAGCCTAAACCATGAAATTGATTTTGTACTGCAGCTTTTGAAACTGATTCCTGTTTCTGAGATGCAACAAGCCCAGTCAAAATAAAAGAGAGGAAATCCCACTTTAAGGAAGGAGGAGGAGTAGGACCTCATCGTGGAGACGACCACACCGAAGAGTCCGAAGAGCTGCCTGGTGGCGCTCGGCACGCCCTTTTTAATCAGTGCACAGTGAACAGGACGGGGTGGGAGGTTTCTTACTTAGGGACCAATTTGAAAAGGAATGAATCAATCAAGCAATGAGGCATTTTCAGGCGTGGAGCAGCTGAGAGCGAGATGAATGTGGGGACACTTCACTATATGACAATAAAAAGGAAACGATCCACTCGTGCGTCTCCTTAACTCCGCAAGTGGGTATTGATGATGATTGATGGATATGAATCATGGCTGCCATTTCAGTGGGCGTTCAATCAATGATTGTTTACTGAAAAGTGGTGTCACGTTTTGTTGCGGCAGTCCTCTGTAATTAGAGGAAAAGGGAAACCAGAGGCTGCTGCTGCTGCTGCTGGTAAATCTACTTTTACCTCAACCTCAAATAGGGGGGACTGTTGGAAACGCTAACATGGCTAAGAATGTCAATGTAGCTTCAAAATCAATCAAAGGGCTAAAGAAACTTTTGGAAATACTTTCAGGAAGCGCCATGGTAATCGATTTGTGCTTTTACCGTCTGTTTCTGCAAGACCATTTCTAAGTAAAGCAATCATTCGCCAAATATAGTCAACCACTTACTGTCGTCATCTTGGTGATTTGAAATGGATTTATATCGTTTATCTGTCGGGGTTCATTGTTATGGCATCGATGCTTCTACATACAGTAACAACAAGCTGAAAACAGCATCATTTATCCTTTAAGAACTCATTTGTGAACCAGGGTGACTGAAGATTATCCACTCAAATTAGTATTCACAAACCCAGAAGCGCACACGCACACACACACACACACACACACACACACACACACACACACACACACACACACACACACACACACACACACACACAGTAATTGCAATCAGAGGACACTTACAGAGAGGTAACGTTTGTAGAGAGAAGTGGAACAGCCTGTAGGTTGACCGCCACACACTCCACATCCGTCTGAATGCAGTCACAACTCTCTGGATACTCCTGCAAGACTAAACACACACACACACACACGCACAAACGCACTTCACTGTAGCGGCTTTTTGCAGAATTATAACAGTTGGCAGAAGTAGTCCTTTGGTGATTATTCGATGATTATTACCCGTGATTATTATTATGCGTTAACTTAAAAATGCCACACTTTTCTGAGAACCCAACTGTGATTACATTGACTATGATTCCCACGGTTGCTAAACACGCTAATATACTGTGCACACACATGCTAAAAGTAAACACTACACAAACACAATTTACACACCCACTTACAACACTCATCCCGGAAGTAATTGTCCACGTCATTGGCATCCTGCAGTGTTTGGCCAATTAAGTCGGCCCACCCGATGTTGTCCCCTGCAAAGCCAGTCAAGGAAAAAGAATTATCCGTGCGGAAATATGTGAAATGGTCGCGATCTGCACGTCTCAAGGCGTTCGAACAGACATTGGAAAACTACTTACTTTGATAATAAATGCCGCCGACTTTAACAACCATGTTACTGCGTGAGTCTCTTGCTTGTTGCAAACCATTTTAGAATAAGCGACTTGCAATCACGACCCAGTCGGGCCGGATTATGCGTCGCGCTGGTACGACTGTTATTCAAACGAGTGTCGACAACCCTAAATGAAGCACTCACACCTTTCATTTAGCAAAAAACGGGCACTAAACAAAACACACTCATGGCAAATTTAACAAAAAGGGATTATAATCCCTCCATCCACTATCTTTTAACTGCTTATCTGGTTCAGTTTCACTGGGGGAAATGGAGCCAATTTTAGATGATACTGGGGGACGGCAAAGGCAGGGTACAATTAAATTGTGTTGAATTTAACCAATTCTCTTCTTCACTTCCCCGGAGTCAGCAGAAGCAGATAGACAACTGAAAGTGGAATCCAAACAGAGTGAATTTCAGCAGTTTTCACAACTTAATAAGAATGTGTTTTCATGGTTTGTGACTCATACTAGCTTACAACACCAATAACGTCCGGCAATATTCCTCTGCTTATTAAATCCATGCTCTTCTTTAAGTACAGTGGTTAGGGGGTCAAAGCAGGCGACTATAATACACGTTTGGAAATATTATATTAGTGTAATGTGTCTTAAAGCAAGTAACCAGGTCTTCTTTGTGTTTTTCATGGGGTGGCGTAATTATCAGAGGATCTCAGACCAAACTATTGTCTAGTTGTTTAAGTTTTCACTCTTAAACTATAAACTACTAAAACAATACAAATATGAATAATTAACAACACAAATCCTGCATTCGAATATTAATTTCAGGTGCAGATGATACATTTACTTTCAATTGTAATGTGATAGTTTGATTACAGATATGAATCATATTTCGAAATAAAGATAACATTTTTATTGTTTTATTTTAGTAAATATGAATCTTTAAATGGACCAGCAACCTTTCTCTGTCAGGAAAGTGACTTCCGGGCCCTTTTAGAGCTGGAATTGCACTTGTCTACACAGAAATCTCATGGAGGCTCCGTCGATGTTGCTTTTAACGAAAGTAACATTTTGCAGCGGCTCAAAGCGTATGACGAGCACATTCTGCGCCTTCACCAGCTTACAGCCGGACCGACATTCAAACCTGCTGCTGTAAGTGAAGCTCGATGAGAAACAGATTGGAAGCCCATCATGCGCAGATGTGACGGAGTTGTTTTTCGTCTTTGCACAAGCAGTCAAGTCATTTGCTTTCTCCGTCATTAACCGGAAATAAACCGGAATGCTTCGTCTCGTAGTTCAGATCTAAAACATAAATGTCAACTATGCCAGGGATATTTTCAATTTTAAGCTGTGAATCGTGCCACGGGTTGGGTAAGCGCGGCCCGGGAGGCTCAGTGCTGATGTAAAATGAAGTTTTGACAGATCATCGGGCCCCGCAGTGGAGATCGGCCTTGGCTGTCATAAATCTACTGAGCTCTCTCCCCAGTGAGACCCTATGAGCACCTCCTCAATGTTTTTTTCCTGCTGGGCACACCATGCCCTATATTAATTCTTTAAAGCACTTGATCAAGCTTCACTTTTAATTTACGCTTCAGATTGAAGTGTTGCCTCGGTGCTTTTCCAAAGTTGTTGCTGGAGGAATAAGCGGCACCGCCCCGCCTCAGCATCTAATCGTAAATATCCAGCAGAGAACCGCAGTATTAACAGCAACATTGAGAGAAGCGAAGTCATTCGCTGTGTGCATCACTATTTAGACAAGCCTTAGCCTTCCTTTGAGACATCCCTTACTCATTGATCATCTGATAGCTGGTCCGCGGCCTTGCATTCCCACAGCCAGGGTTATTCGCTCTAGCGTTCACAGCACGATGTGGTGAACGGCATTGAAAAGTCTATAAAAGGGGAAATGTTCATGCTTACATCCACACCTGTGACTAAAGTCAAAGAGGTCCCACATCTCGCTGGAGGGAACATGGATTAAAGAACAACCAATTTGAAGGTGCAGCTGTTAACCAGTCCTTCGCTTCTGCACTGAGCAACTCGCTTTAATCAGACATTTAATTGCCTGAAATCTCCCATGATTTAAGCAGATGTGGTGGAAATCAAACCGGCCTTTTTAAATGATTGGCTACTCCTGCTTTCATACTTTTGCTTTTCATACTTCTCTATGTGCCGAGCTCTGATAAAGATGTTTGTGTTCAGATAGATAGTTTGAGTTCTCAAATAGGCCTTTTCGTCCTCCGCCTGGGGAATTGCCCTTTTTTGCAAGACATCGTATTTCTCTGTTTTCTATTATTTCTATATTTTGTTTTTACCTTTGGTCCCCGGCATCAATCCTCAAATAAAATTGTGTTATAAAATTCAAGACCTCACCGGAGTTCTTATTGAGCAAGACGCAGCCAGCCAACACAGATGCTCCAAACAGAGAGGGAAACAATTCACAGGTCTCTGCTCACTTGTCATTGCCTCAAGGTGACTCCTCGTAACTTCTGTCTGCTGTGAACAACGTTCGAACACAAATCTATGCAGTTTAATATCTTAATCTCCCTCCCCAAAAAAGAAGGGAAATATGGGAGGCTCCTTCACTAGGAGAAGGGGCCGGTGTATTTCTATGCATGATATTCACACAGTGGTTATATTTTAAGCCAGTGTGGGAAGAAGAGTGGATGTGAGAAACAGCAGCTCGGGGAGGTGTCCCAGAGACGCTTCCAAGGGTGACGGGGGAAGGGGTGTGAAAAAAAGAGGAGCGGAGAGGAGGAAAGAGAAGGAAAATTAGGCCGGTAGGCAGCAGTTGTTGTTTATATTTGAATAAGATCCGTTGATTTGGAATATTTATTTCGAAATAAATATAAGTAAAACATGTACTATTGTATGCAACTTTATCTTTTTGTAATAATTAAAGAATTCCCCTTAAGCACCGGACGTCTGTGCACAGCACTGTTCAGCAGGAAGAGGCAGAAATGAAATGGCTGCGAAGACGATGCGTATTGTGCCTCGTGCCCAATAGGTGAGTCTCTTTCTCCACAAACTCTTGTCATTGCGGCAAAGTTGCACGGCGTCGATAAGAGAAGCAATAAGGTCAGTGGCTTTTTGATTATTGGCGGCATGGCCTCCCGCGGACAAATGAAAACAAATTCTAGATTGCAACTTTTTATCAGAGGGGGAAAAATTAATCTGATTAACCTCTAAGTGATCAACGGGCAAACAGGAGGTACATTAATTGATAAATGGCTCATTCTCGCTATGATTTTATTATGAAGCTAACGGAGAGTCATGAGAGAGCTTTTTCTCACATAACACACGTTAAAAAAGGTTGTCTTGCTTAAATACTCAACCTTGTGTTTTCCATCTATTTTGTGATGCTACCCACACTGTTTGTGTTCCTCGTGCTCACTCTTCTGCTCAGTTTGTTAAAAATTGAAGAGGCTGCAGACTGTGGCGAAGGGTCTTCCAGTGGTTCATCCGGATGACCACGGAGAGGTCACAGGACAGCAAGACGCCACTTATTCCTGACCCCTGTCATCGGTTTCCTTTTTCCCAAAGCAGGAGAAGCACGTCGGCTCTCAAAACACAGCCGCGTACGTCACATGAGGTAAAGTTTTACTTACAAAATGGGGCGGCATCAAAGTGACTTGCTTATGCTTTGGCTCAAAGTGTTTAATGAAGTATTTTCTCCCACAATGCCAAAATAAAAGAGTCTTTGGAGTATAATGAGGTTACTGTTGCCTTTCATATCTCCGAAGGATGTGAGCTGGCATTTCTGATTAATACCGAGCCAAGTGAAAATCTGATAGTTTTTCCTTTACTGCTTGGCTGAATCCAGCAGGACACAACGTCTGTTGACTGGATAATGAATGCATGCAGACGCCTTTGATTAATGAACTAGCATGGCGCCTTAATCTTGCTTAATATGTAAGATGGGGGCTGTTTTGAACACTTTAAATAATTGCTGGATGACCTCTTCTCATCTGCTCACTTGCGAAGGACATTATCTACTCTATTATAGAGCACATGTCTTGGTTTTCCCACTTATTGCTGATCATTCATACGTTTTCTGGGGGGGTGGGGGGGTATAACATGATTGAGCTGAGACTCCAAACTTATTTGAGGAGGCAATTATATTTTGAACCATAACCCTTTGCGCCCAGCGAGTGTTGAGTGGCGATTTCCCCCCGGGTCGCCGTGATGACATTAGACAAAATGAAGGCTGTCCGGTGGAACTATAGGAGGATCTCTCTTCTTTTTTTTCTTTTCTTTTTTTCATTTTCCGAACTCGCCAATATTGCCACGAGGTAAATCTGTTGCGCTGCAGTGACTTTTTCTACGCACACACTTACCACAGCGCCGCTCGTCAGCTCCGTTGGGACAGTCTCTGTGCCCGTTACACTGCAGAGCCTGAGGGAGACACTCACTTATGTTCCCACAGGGGAACTGGCCGAGGGGACATCCAGCGTGTACTTCCAGCCGGCTCGCCAGCAGCGCTGAGGGAGAAATGCAGTTAGCGAGAGAGAGAGAGAGAGAGAGAATACGTTTATATGGGCTGTTATCAAAATTAGCCTTTCTTGTTAGAAACCTCCGGTAAAAAGATTCTCTTGGCAAAGAGCCTGTCACATTAGCGAACAAAATGTGAGTGATATTTTGCAAGTTAAAGCAGGCAGTTAAAATGAGAAGATATTCACAGCAAATTCTCACTTTGGAGACATTATTGGCTCATCATCCATCTAAGTTACCGACTCTGCCTTCATTGCATTTAAAGTTATATCTTTGTGAATATTTCAATTTATAAACCCCCTCAAAGTGTTTATCTTGCAGTCTTCGCGACCTCCTTCCTTTAGAGTGCAGTTTGAGTCCTACGGCCTTCTTAGTCATCTCTCCCGAACAGATGAAAAAATCACCCGCTATCAAATTTAATCGGATTAGTTGAGCTTTTCTGCTGTACCGAGTCCCCTTCGATGCAGATAATCCATCCCAATCGTCATCAGATGTTCAAGTACCGTGACTCCTTCCTCCTCGAAACCAAGACACCTTTTTTACCCTCAGTGCACCATCGCTATTATATCTGTGCCGGATAATTCACAGGAATCTTCTAAACGTGTGTGACTGAACATGTACTTAATTCGCCTCTCATTTCATCATATCGCTATTTAGGACCAAAATATGATTTAGTAACTCTACTCTTAAGCTGTCATGAAGACTTATTGTGGCTTATCAGTTACTGCATCATGTCATCTCTCTGGCCTGAAAAACATGCCACGAACAAATCTTTCACTAAAGCCTGCCAGCAAGATAAATAGTGCACACATCTGCAATAATACAGATGCGGTATTTCTCCTTTCTGACACCTAATACAACAGACTCAACGTGATCCTTTTTTATATAATCAGCAAACAACATATTTTTGTGGTATCAAAAAGCAAAGTTTGAGATGCTGAAATAAAAGAGGAACAAGAAGCTTTAACCATTTTTAAAGTTTGTTGGTGGACATATTAAATTTGTTTTTTAAATCTTTGCACACAATGCTCTGGTTGTTTGTGTGATTATTGCCCTGTTTTGTAATGCGATAGCGGCGAGAAAGAGCCAATTCACAACGTTGTTCACAGCATTTCTTTTCTATAGGAGTACCACAGTAGTAGTTTTCTCTCTTTATAAATCCCAACCCGGGATGAAAATGCACATCTTCAAGCACAGTTAAAGCTGCCATTTTTGCATCTGCAACACCGGAATTCTGCATTTATAAACTCGCCCTCACGGTCCGCATCCCAAATGGAACCACTGATCCATTAAGAAGGGATTAAGAAAAGCAAATACAAGTAAGAGGTCTTCAGGTAAGTAAACTGGGTGTGGTCACTGCTAGATTGGGATCCCAGGTGTGCAGGACAGGGTGGCTCACTGAGGGCACCTAGTGGACAGGTGAGGAACACACACAGCAAGTTTGTTTGTATACACGTTAAGTATTACTGCTTCATGAGAACGCCAACTTAACAACTGAGGAGGGGCTCGGCTTTGGCTCCTCCGCACCCATATGTTTCCAAATTCATTGAGAAAATACTTTTGGTTGCCATCGGTTTCAATGGATCACGAATGTCACGAATGTTATCACGGCGAGGAAGAAACACTTGAGGAAAACCTACAATTTGATGAGCGGGAGACACAAAGTGTGGACACCTACAATATCTAAAGTAATGTTCTTACTTTCATGTTTTGTCCCTGATTTATTTGACTTTGGCGGTTATAACAGAACCTACTGCAAGGTGCCGCACTAAGCCGACGTCCCCCTGAACACAAAGTTCCCCATTACATTTCATGACATTACCCGATAAGCTGCAACGTCTAAATCAAACCCTTTGCAGAACGGCATTTTCCCCAACGCACATTCGCGTTGTGTCACGCAGCGAGTGTCACAGGACTGCACTGAGTTTGACCCAGCGATCGCAGTGCTTTGGAACCGTTGAGATCTGACCTAAGATGTGCCTGCAGGACTATAAAACCATAGAAAGCGAGACGACATGCCATGTATGAAAACAAACGCACCGGGGAAAGTACACCGAGGCTCTGCAGGGCAGAACAAAGAAACAAATGTGGTGTTCAGTCAGTCCAAAGTGTCTACGTCATCTGCAACATCTCCCAAAATAGTGTCACTTTTTAAGTTACTGTTGTTGGCTGTTAGGAAAGAATTTCTTTCTTTTTCTTCCTAAAAAACAAACTTGAAGTCAAGAGCGCACAAAATCACATAGAATTGAACAAACCCTTAAATAATAAGGCCTTTTCCAATGTAACTGGCAACTGTATTTCCTTAAGTCCCAATTTTTACATCTAGTTTTGATTGAAATGCAAACTACTTCATGTGAGCTTACACAACTGGATATGCATTCTAACGCACAGTATACAGTATGGTTGAAGTACTGACATTCAGTTTAAATATGAACATTCGGATTCATGCACCGTTCAACCCACCTGGACGTAAACATCCTCAGAACTGAGAGTCAGTACGTCTCCACTATCAATATTTCATTTAAAACCAGATGTCCTGGAATTAATGAATGTGTTTGTTCTTATGAGCTGGGCAGGCCTGACCTGCTGGGCTTGGAACAGACGTACAAAAAGCACAGTGCTCGTAAAAAAAAGGTCATCCCAATCACTCAGGGGAAGGAACACGCGTGTGCTGTATGAAAAGTGACATTTTGTGCATACGCCAGAACTTAATAAACCTCAGCAAACAAACTGAAAAAAATGGCCTGAACTCTACGGACAGACTGAAAAAATGAAAACAAGAAAACAAGACAAACACACTCAATACCTTTGTTAGACCTGCGGGACTAAAATCTCAGTTTGGGGTTGATTACTTGTCATCTTATCTTAGCAAGCAAGTAAAGGTGTTAGATGTAAAAACATCCCAAAGGCACATAAATAAACCAGCATCTAATGGGAAATATTAACTTTGAGCCTGCTGGAATTATTTCTACTACTAAGTAGGTTTGTAGTGAGATTCAATCTGGTTTCTTTATTTCTGTGAATTACCTGTAACTAACCAAAGGAAATATGACAATAATAACCTCAGTGAGTGAAAGCACAAGAAGCAGAGCCAGTGTGACACAACACGTCTACCAGAGGAAGGGAACACTTCACATTCAACACTGACATCAACCTCAGTGGCCCTGCAGTCTGAAGAACGCCTGCGCCACATCTGGCTGCCCGCCTCACAACTGTATCTACTCAGTGACCAGCTGCACAGACATACACGTACGGAATAACTCTATTTGAAATAAGAAAATACTGCAAGCATCAGTGCAAATTGCTGTCTTACTGGCGGCCTTGTACTTTAATGTCTAAGAAGGCGAACGACTGAATGTTTTTCCGTTCCACCACAAGAAAATGTCATATTGTTTGTTACTGATTGCTCAGCGACGGACTGAACGTCCCCGACAGTGAAGCTCTGTCGCCCTTAATGGAAACGTCCCTCTCAATAGCTCATCAATTTCCCGCCTCAGAAATATATGCAATTGATTCCAGCTGTTCCTGACTGAGGTGATGAAATGCAGTCGGGAGACACCGCATCTCTTACTGTCATGTGGCGCATGCCGATCCCATTTTGCTGGGTTCCTTTTCTTTTTAATGGACATTTTGCATTGCATTGGGCCAGCTATCGTTATCAAGTCATTTCACAGTTTGGAACCAAACCCCATCAGCATGTGTGTCCTACCAACATGCTCGTCACCTGCCACACCCCCCCCCCCCCCCCCCCCCCCCACACACACACACACGGCATGGTGCCAGAAGGGATTCTTCAGTGACATTTTGACACAGTTGGGGATTTGAAGATGAGTCACAGAATGGTAAGTGCAGGGAGTGTGAGTGGGCATGAATGAATAGGACAAGAGTTAGATATTGATTTTTCTGATTTGCTTTGGCAGCTCAACCCCCCTCAGTAAAAAAATATGTGTTTACTAGAGAACAAAGAAATGTTGTAATGTATAAATGTATAATTGACTAAATAAAATGCCCTGAATGTATTCCCTTACATCATGAATCTTAGCTCACTGAAAAAAAATCCTATATAAGAAGATCCTTTCCTCGGGAAGAAATTCATCAATCTTTCACCTCCATCTGCTCAGCAGGGTGGACAATTCCCCTCAGCAACACAATTCCTCTCCAAAAATATACCTGCTGGCATTGCTTGGTGTTTACAAATCCATTAACCATGGGCCGGTTGAGTGTTCTCTAGATCAGCTCACAGCTGCGGGGGAACATATTGAATCATTATGTTAGAGCCACACATGTTCTGTAAAACGGTCTCCTCAATTGTGGCTGTCAGGGGGTTCATTCACAAAAAGCACCGTGAATAACTGGAGAATAATGAATAATGTAACAATGAGCCGTCTGCAGACAGGAGATTAGTGGCGCAACAGCGCTGCAAATACAAGCAGTGACAGAATAGTCTGTTTCTGTACCTGTGATCTCAGTGCGGGTCAGGTGGATGAGCAAAAACAGGACAGGTACTTCCATCCCGAGGCGCAGAAGTTTTCCTGCGCTCATGTCGCTCAGGCTGCGAAAAGCTTCAGGCCGATTAACGACGCGTGAAAACAAAAGTGAAAAGTCAGCCGAGTTCTTTTAGTTTTTGTCCAAAATGTTAGAACGTGTCCGACATTTATAAAAAAAAATCGGAGAAGGAATAAAAAAAAGAATTTAAAAAAAGGGAAGGTGAGCTAAGCCATTGGAGGAATGTTGAGAAGTGGCGAGGCGGTGCGCGCGAGCAGAGACGTCCTCTCCATGCTGTCTCTCCGGAGCTCAATGCAGAGAGCGACGAGCGACGATCTCTCTCTCTCTCTCTCTCTCTCTCTCTCCCTCTCTCTCTCTCTCTCTCCCTCTCTCTCTCTATCTCTCTCTCTATCTCTCTCTCTCTCAGACAGACGCGCACACGCACGCACACGCCCCTTGCAGTCTTCCCCCTCTCTAAAACATCTCTTCATGCTTGGTCTTATGTTGCATTACTGTTACATTACAGGTCATGTTAGCTGAAGCTTTTATCCAAAGCGACTTACATTACATTTTAAACCCATGGCTTTTTTATTTTTATTTTTTATATCTTTGCCCGGGGAGAAATTAGGGTGTTGCTCAGGGACACTTCAACATGGGACATGGGGCGGCCGGGACTCGAACCGCCAACCTTGCGGTTGCCACCTCTCTGCCGCTGCGCCACACAACCCAAATAAAGGAGTAGAACTGATAAATTAGCCCCCTACTAATTCAGCCTTTAACTATTAATGTATTGTGTTTTAATAAACCAGCCGGACTATTTTCTTTTTAGTCTGACTTTTTGGGGGCGTTAAATTGGAGGAGCACGTTCATCTTTAGCCTTTAGCCACAGGTGACGTTAGCTTTAGCGCGTTGTAAAGACAGGAAGCGGGAGGGAAACAGGTACCCTGACAAAAAAGAAAAACATAACACGCCGACTGTAATATACTATAATGTGCTAATTTACTGCATCAGAGTTGCTGTTTCCTTTACAGTTTTCTCACTTTGTGTCCCGCTAAGCTAACCGGCCCCCTGGCTCTCCCCGAATACCAACGGGACAACGGGGACAACAATAATATATCTTCTTATTTGACTCTATGGATCTCAGCCTTTGCTGCTTTGCAGGGCTGCCACAGTCGAGATCATTTGGACAGATTTGTGATATCGTTTTTTTTTTGCGTAAATTCAATTTATTTCATCGCCCTTTTTTATGTGACATCAGTGGCAGCAGGAGTTCAAAGGGCTCAGGCCATTTTGATTCAATGGAGATATTTTGTTTTGAATGACGATGAAGTGCCATTAGTGTTCCAATCCGTTTGATTACCGCTTGGATGTTATATACTAAGCAGATAAAGCAGAATCATCCAAACATTGACAAACAGTTTCATGAGGTCTCTGAAGATGTGAGAGTTAGCAGACTGGCATCAGCTGCAGGATGAAACCCTGAGCACATGACTCACTGCCGTCTTCATCTCTCATTAAAGGGACAGAATTAACCCTGGCTTTTCTAACAGCAGCCAATTTTGAATTGTGACATTCAGGCAACTTGCCTATTTTAGCATAATGTGTGAGCTACGACCTTTCCTATGAGCAACCACTTTTCTCGTTTGGCAACAAAAAAAAACAAAGGGTTAAGGTTGACCTTTGATTTGTCAGGTCACTTTACATCTACCCCAGTCTTAAATGCATTACATCGTTCTGTATTTCTTTAACAATGACAGTGAACATTTATAAATGTTACTATTTTATAGACACCGAATAAAAACAGAACTAACTAACTTCACAACTATACTTAGAAAAATCTATTATGGGTGGATTCAAAACCGTGGCTGCCTTCTGTGATTGCATTAGAAAATAATCACCCGAAGAGGTTTCGATTTTCTGCATAACAGATAACAAATGAGCATATCCGCCATAAAAAGCTTATGGGGATATTGTCATTTTATCTATCTAAATTAGATCTGCTGTTTTGCTGCAAAACAAACCCAAAAATCCAGAATATGGAGGAAGAAAAGGAGATACTCAATGTCCCCGAAAGAAAGCCCTCAAGTTACATCGCAGGTGATGGCGTGTGTCATCGGTAGTTCAATCCGCCCGGTGCAGAAGCTCCCTGCCAGGTTTCGTTTGTGGAGCAACGCTTGTTGTTTTTTGCATGTTGTTTGTCTCAGCACGAGGCCCGGAGATGGAAATGTACCCCCATTACATCTGTGATCCCACATATTTTGCATCAGTTGAAATTATTTCATAATATTTCATGATGAGTTCAAAACGGCGATTGATTTGCTACTAAATCCATGACATGTTTCTTTTCCCAAGTGGGGGCAGTGACATCACCTTCAAAATAGTATGTGTGAATGCAAGCGTGTCTTCAAACAGTTGTGTATTTGATCCTCCAGCAGGCAAACAGACTAACATTCGTTTGGAGGCGTGTTTGCTTTTGCTTTGCACATATGCTGCAAGAACCTGAGGAAAACCATCCACCGCGATTCAAGATATGGAGCACGGAGAGCAGCTGCCGCTGTCAGCGATGGAGTGGGAGAAGAGCCGCGGTTGATATGCAGGAGAGACGACGCAAAGGTTGTAGCCAAGCGTGTGGTGGACCGAAGCGGGAGAGGTGATGCGCTGATTGCTCACAGGTGGGCCTGTTGGCAGAGTCCGGGTGATTGGCAGGACGTAGGCAACGCGCACGCGCACAGTTCAGACAATCTGGGCACACGGAAGACACAAGGAGAGTGGGAAACACAAGGGGCCGAGACAATGATAGAAAACAGTTGGTGTGGTTCCCGCATTAAAAACAATTTTGCATTTGATGCGAACCAGTGAAAGCGTTTGACAGCTCAGAGACGATGAAGAGGCCAGAGACACCACAGAGGGCCCCCGGGTGTGCGCTCAGAATTAAAAGTGGGGGAGAAAACCACCAAATTAACTTTTACCAGGCATCGACCCTCACCATCTGCAGTGCAGCCCTGTTACATTTGCAAGGACAAATAAGCACCCAAATACCCAAAAGCACGCTTAGACCAAAGCAGTTGGTTACACCTAAAGCACCGAAAAGGTGGTTTAAAGATTTAATAAAGGTGATGTTTATGCATGAGGAGTTGCATGAAAACAGCTGGGAGCGCAAACCATTTGGCTCCCAGTTTGGAGACATAGTTGCATTAATCAACACTGATGAACGCCATAGAGTTGAACACAGAAACAATCTTTCTGATTCATCATCACAATTTACTAGTTGCTTTCATCTTTCGTTTTATTCAAGTCAAGTCAAGTTAGTTTATCTGAATATGCAAAACAAATGTATTATTAACCACGGAAAAATAAGAACATAAGTCATTTAAAATATGCTTATTTTATTATGGTTTGTTTGAGTGCTATTAATTCATTATTTTGATCATTACTCCGGTATTCTGGATCGGCGGTACCACAAATGTCAAACCCAACTCATACAAGCATGAAGATAACTGGAAATGTTGTGACTAAAATGAGAAACTTCACTTTGAGGTATGTGGGAAATAGCTAAATAATTAAGCTTGTTTGAACCAGTTATTAAGAAACAGCCTCCGTCTGTTTGGGGCAATGTGAACTTTTTGATGCAAGGCAAATGTTGTGAAAGTGTGTAACGTTACGTTACAGTCTTTTAGTACCACGCATCTGAATTGGTTTATTACCCCCATAAATGCAATAAACTGTATTTGTTTTTTTGGTTTTATCTTTAAGACAGTGTAAAATCAAGACACTAGACACCTTTCAAATACATGTTTAAATATGATATTTAGTTGACTTACTGTATTTGCACACACATAATCAGTGCAGTCGAGTTCCCCTACATTTGTTTAGAGCTTCGTCTCTGACTTTTCATTAAAAACTTGTTTCAGTCTGTGAAGTATTTTGTTCAAATAGCTGCTCCGCATTGGTAGGCAAATTTAACTTGGAGTTAAAGTAGCTTGAAGGACAAACTTTCACAGATTATGTGACTGGAATTTGATGAAGCCATTATAATTCAACCAAGAAACTCCTTCAGGGCAGTTTTGGGTGTTATGATATATATATTTTATGGCCTTTAATATATTCAAACAAAATTGGTCTTGAGAGGTAGAAAGTCCTAAGTCATCAGATTGTGTTTATATTGCAACTTAGAAACATAATAGACCTATTACCTTGCCTTTCTGCCGGCCCGGTCTCTGTGCGTGCAGAGGTCAATGTGAAATGCACCACGGTGGAGCAGCCGACCGCTTCAATCAGCATCATCTGATACGGTCATCGAACATCTCTGGAAAAAAAACTCGTCAATGGCTATATTTATTGAGGAACCGTGAGGGCAAATGCCCGTGCCGAGTTCTCGTTAGCTTTAACGGAGAAGCAATGTAAAGCCCACTGACTGGAAACATTACAAACTGTCGAGTACACGGCCGGCGATTTGAGTGTTCTACAGTGTGTGGTTAAAACCTCCCAGAACATCGTTGGCAGCCACCACCTCCCGAGCATCAATGATACGGGTGAGAAGAGGAGCCTGTGAAAAAAAGCCCCCAAAAAGCCGAGTAACAGCCTGGTCACCCTGCTAGCGTCTGGCGAGAAACACATACGTGTCAGCTGCAGCGCCACCAGAGCCAAAGCAGCTTACTTTCCCAGGCTGCGAGACCTCCGCCCTCCACCACATTTAATCTTGCGTGGGTCTTTCTATTTTCTGAGCTTCTTTCTATTCTATCAGTGGTTGAGCCATGCACAATCTCCCGCGAGGAAAATATAGCACATTCATCTTCATTCTAAGTTCCGGTTGCAAAAAAACAAAAGGAGGGGCGTCGCCCATTTTTCAAACCCATACTAAAACTCTTTTTTTCAATGGTAGTCATAGGTTTCAAATTATATTTACAGCCACTTAAATTCCCAAAGGACTTTCCCTGATGGGTATTTCCTACAAAGGGCATGTTGGTGCCTTCCAAAGAGCAGAGACAATAATTTCTATCTAACTTTCCATCCCTCCACGCCATTAAAGAATAAATTGAAATGGGAGTGGTGAGAGAAGAAGACACCCAGTGTTCTTCCCTCACCACTCCCACAGCTGTTGGAGGATGTGGACATAAATGAATTGGCTGGAAACATTGAATGGGTCCAGTTACAGTGTGAACTCAGTTTCCACACAAAATGTGAAGCAAGTTTTCGGAAAAAGAATGTGCAAAAGAACGTTGTTACCAGCCACAGCTGTTAATGACAGTACATATAAAAAATTGGTTCATCAGGAAGAACTTCGGATGATGCTAATCTTCCGTTAGGGACCATTAAAACTTTGATG